TCCTCCTCCTCATCACGGCGATCCGCAAATGCGGCATACTCGTCATCATCATCGACCTCAAACTTGGCAGCGGCGGGACTAGTCCTTGCAGTCGCACGGCTGCCTGCATTTCGGCGCGAATGGCTCTCCTCCTCATCCGCAAAATTGTAACCTTCGCCATCATAAGACTCAGATTTGGCAGTATTAGGGTTGGGCCTACCGGCATCAGATCCCTGCTTTGAGCTACTGCCCCAACCTGCGGTTGATTTCAACAGATCATCGTATCCGAAGTCCGTGAATTTCCGCTCCTCGTGCTCATCAAACTGACCTGGATTTTGAGAACCAGTGGATCGGCCCGGGATACCTCCCGGAGCCAGAACCATAGTCCCTGGTCCCTGCGGCCTATTCTCAAACTCATCCGAGACCTGCGACTCACCTGGAACAAGAGATCTCGGAGGTCGAATCGGCATGGCCTCCGGGTCATCCGAATGAGGGCGGGCCATGTCCATCGCCATGCTGATGAAGTCAAAACGTCCACGCCTGTGACCTGATTCAGAGCCACTCCTACCGGAGTAAACCCTTCGTGTCTGCTCGTCATCAGTGGCCTGGCGGAAAATACGATCGTCTCCATCGTCGGCGTACCTGCCACGGCTCCTGGGTGTATCCCTACCGGGATCTTCACCCCTGCGGTCCTGACCTGTCGAACCTGCTTCGAAATCCTCGTAGTCATAGTCCGGTAGGTCCTCACCTGAGCGGAGGCCACCTAGGATGGCCTCCTCATCCACGACGCTCCTTCGAGATCGTGGGGTCGACATAGAGCTTGTAGTTGATGGTCTCAAGCGCGTAGGAAAGTCCTACGGCTGATAACCTGTGATTCGGGCACGAGCCTGTGCCCAGGCAATGGGTAAGTTGGGGTAAACAAGCCACAAAAGAAAGGTTCCCCAAAAGCAAACCAATCCCCGGTCCCAAAGATCAGGGTTTCCCACACACCAGAGAACAACAACCAAAGGAAAACAAACCAAACCAGAAAAGGATACCCGCAACCTAGATCGACGATGAACCGCACGGGCGATCCCCACCAACCTACCCCGGGCCGAAGTCTCTTTCTCCTCCGACACGAAGGCGGTCGACGTGAGGGCCCGGCGACGCTCATCCGAGGCGCGCCGGATCCAAAACTTGAGCCAGAACACCACAGGTCGGTCACTAACGCGACGTCCCTGATGATGATATGAACCATGGCTAATCACATGGCAACATAGTTGCTATGCATACTCGCCATGTGCATATGTTTGGGGCATTTTGGGTGCAACGGCCAAGGCTAGCTGGCAGAAGGCTGCACTTTGGGTGTCTTAAAACGCTTGAAACAGGGGTTACAGATGACAACACGTGGCCTCGCGACGGAAAGAAGGCACTCCAAACATCCAACCCAGTTCGAAGTGTCAATGAGACCGCAGTCCATCAAGATACCAAGAAGCAGCAACACGTGGCTTGATGTCCAAGGGATGCCAAACCCTCGAGCTGGGGCCATGAATGGGAGTGGGTGCCAGAACAGCTTCCTGTGCCAGAGGGTGGTGAATCCTTCAAAAGGAAGGGTACAAAGGGCTACGCACGTCTTCATGTTGACCCAGAAAAACAACTCCCTGGTTGATTTGGGGGGGTGTCCTTGTGAGGATTTATGCCACTTGCGGAGGGAACAGCCCCCCAATAGGACGGGTTGACTAATCCGGGGTCAACATGAAGCGCTGTTGATCCTATGTCCGGACTCGTGCAGGCGCACTCGTCAATGAGGCTCATGATGAAGCGCTCTTCCTCAGAAAGCGGCTGACAAACGTCGTGCCCCATCTGTCTCCCTTATGCAAAGCTGTCCCCTGGCTCCCAACCCATGGTACGCCCCTTGGAAAAGGCAAAGAAGAACCTTCGAAAAAGGTAAAAACGGGAAAGCAAGCCCCTGCCATGACACGTGCATGGCACTCTCTGACCTCCACATGAAGAAGCCCAACATTCCCCTGGGAGCAGTTGCCAGGCTCGTCTGGCTGAAAAGTACAGAACAGGACAGAGACGTTCTCCTGTATTCCCCCTCTTGCCATTACAGTGGCCAACAAAGGTCGTGGGCCACTTGCAACATTCAAGCAATCCATGAACACCCAGGAGTGGGACGGGCCACGAGGTAGGTGCTGCAAAACCCCGATGTCACACCATCACTTTCCATTGGGAAGATTGAAGATGGCTACATGGCGGAGAACAACTTGCAAGTCAAGGATGCCAGTGGCAGGACTCCAAATGCAAGCCTTCTACCATTTCAGATTTCAGAGGCTCAAAAAATGGGTCTCTTAGTCTTACAAAGAATACGGGAACCCAAGACTGGTCGCTTGGCTTCTTTACCTTTTCAGCCCACCGGGGGGGGGGGGGAAAAACACGGCGGTCCTGGGCATCCTGGGCCTTGACGCCGCAGTCCTCTAGGCACTTGAGGCCTTCCTGGTGCGTCGTCTCGACCAAAACGGAACGCTCCGTCTGCCAAGTCTCCGCTTTACACCAACCAACTGGTGCAAAGTGCTGGTGCTCCCTTGGTGTCCCTTCAAAACCAACCAACAACTGGCATGGGTTTACCTCAAAATGGGAATCGGGCCACCAAAGTTGTGGAGTTTGGGTGTTCCTTTAAACCAAACCAACAGAGGTTCCCCCGGCCCGTAGCATCATCACCTCACCGTTGGGAAATCACCCATGGCCCAAAAGGGCTAAATTTTCTCTGGAAATTCGCCCGGCATTTCCCAGCGTGATCCCAGGGTACAGAAACAAACAACCTCTCGTGAAGGCGTTCGGGCGTACAAACGTGTGGTCATCTTACTGTCGACCAACCTTCAAATTTAGCATTTAGCAACCAAATGGCCTGTGACAAGCCATGCTCAAATTTGGAGACCCTTACATCAAGGGCATGTGCACTTGCTCGCCAACAAGTCTAGCTCTGGCAGTTGGGGATGTCTATTTTTGGGGTACCCCTTCATGTGTGGCTTCAAAGGAAGAAAAAGACAGACCCGGTTCATCACATGGCACAGTTAAATGATCAAACATCCGAAGTGCGAGAGCCAAGGCACGGTGTTGCTGAGGCCGTTGGTCGCATCGCCGTCGCAGCAATGGAACACGGCCACTACCCGCTGACACTCCTGACACTTTTTTGGGCAACTCAACTCGAAGTATCATGGTTTAGCATCCATGCTCCCACTCACTGACACGGAACCCCAACACAAAAGGTCACTGGATTTCCCCTTCAAAAGTTGCAATTTTGTCGGCTTCCCATGGAAACGATAGCCACTTTTGGAGGTTCCAAAAAGGGAAATGGCTCGAAAACCCTGAAAAGGTGGAAAAAGAAAGACATGTTCTGAATTTGATAACCCCAAACAACTGTCGTCATAAAGACCCCGGTAGCATCCACAAACACCTACCTGACAAGGCAAATCAAAGGAGTTCTCTTAGGTTCAATGTTGAGTGAAGGGCTACGCCAATTCATGACCAATGCAGCACGCCCTTCACGAAAAGCCCGTGAGATCTGGGTATGTGTCAAAATCGGCAGATCGCCCCAAAACCGCTTTCCTTTTAGTTTCCCAAGGTACCCTCGCCAAGCACAAACCCATCTGTGTACTCGGACTGCAGTCCTTCTCTCGCAGCCGTCCGAGGATCCTGAACCGAGGCATCCGGCCACATGCAGGAGACTTCGAAATGCGCCCAGCTTCTGCAAGGAAATGTGCGGACTCAACACATGGCTTTGTCTAATTGGGAACACCAAATGTGTGGAGGGCGTCCTCTAGGTTAAAAAAGAAAAAAGAGACTCCTCAAAAAAGGCGAACCCCGCAATCAAACGGCTGTCTTCCACTGTACCTACCTGTTTATCGTGCTGTTGGATGTATTAGCGGAAGGCACGTTCATCCCTGTACGCTTTGTTCCGCAAAGACTGCCCTCATGTACACGTGACCCACGGACAATAGTTCTCGGGGAACACACACAATCGGGTTTTCATATTGTCCCCCTGGGCTTGATGGGAAATTCGGGTTCCTCCCATACCCCCCCTAAATCCACAGGAGACCATCAATAGTGGCAGTTGCTCGTCCCTGCATCTTTTTGGCTCTCATCGTTACGAGCCCCCCGTCCCTGTCCGAACTCAACGGCATTTGCCTGGTGCACTGCCGGAAATCCAGGCGTTCTCGCCTGAGTTGGGAGCTGGGCTCAGGACTCACCAACCGATACGGGTCGCCACAGATTTGACATGAAGGTTGGCTCACAGCTACACAGCGGAGCATCACCGGTCGGAAAGAGGCTCACCAATCCAAGACTCCAACCACCAAAGCGTGACAAACCAGCGCCCAACTCCTAGCTGGGCTGTTCCCAGATCTGCTAAAAGTCTAACTTTTAGTGCTTTAGTGGAAACTACGACTAAACCAAAAGGCCAAGTTCCTCAGGAACCAGATGGCTGGGAATCACCAAGATAGATGCTTGCGGCCTGCGAAAGCGCGTTGCGACCCGGCGGCTTGTCTTCAACCTCTGCCTTGGCGAGCTCTTCCTGCCGGGATAGAGAACTCAGAGATCAGGCCACGGGAACAAGGGCCTCACTCCCACACGGCGTATCTTCAAGACTCCGACATGGCACCTGGCCGCTGAGCTGGTTTCTTGAGGGAATGTATCTTCCAGGTACCCTCAGATGTCTCCTTCAACGGGGGGGAGTGTAATTGATATCAAATTGGAACGTCAAAAAGAAAGGAAAGTACACCACTGGAGGTCTGGGACACTGAAGGTCCTGGCACCGGCACTGGCAAGATATGCTCTCAAAAAGTGCCGCCGACCGCCTACTCCAGCTGTATATTCTATGATTGGGGAAAAAGCTCTTCAAAGAAGGGAGGGGGAGAGGGAAACCTGAGCACGACCATCAACAACATACGGCTCCTTGCAATCAAAAAAAATCCAGGGCCCTGAGGCAATTTAGATCCCCGTGCAATCAGACTCCTCTGCCTCTTCAACTTAAAAATCGGCACCTACGCCGAAGCGTTCAGTTCGATGGCTCCGTTGGACCGCGCCTCCACCATGAGTCGCAACATCTGCTGCATGGGCCGCCGCTTTGGCAAGAGCTCCGTGTCGCGGAAGACCAGTGGCAGGCGGCTCGCCTTCTGATGGGAGGGTCCCTCCCCTCCCGCAATCCCAAGATAGATCAATCCGTGAGTAAGCACAACCTTGGCTTCAAGCGGTCTTTTTTGAGCCATCGCTACCCCTGTTTGCCGGTTTTGAGAAGGGAAACCACAACGAAAACCAGTTTATATCTCAATTCCAAGATAAACTTCATCAATCCCAAGATAGATTCTTTGGCAAGTGGAAGCAATATGTGGATCATAGTCATGGCTCCCTTACTAGACGCCGCACATGTGCTTTTCCTTAAGGGTGTTTTTCCCCTGCAAGTAGATTCTTAACTCCACCGGCAGGAAGTTGCCCCTACTTAAGTGGGCTGAACATCCTGGATGCGACACCTGGTCTTCCAATGGTTTACTCAAACCATAAGAACAAAAAGGGCTACCGCACCTCTTTATGGTTGGGGTTGTCCCTTACCCTTCATCTACCCGAGTTTTGATCGTCAAGTTGTGTTCCTCTTGGGAAACCGAGATGCTGTTTAAAATGGCCGGTTCCTGCCAATCCGGCAGATCAATTACAAACATTATTGTTCACGGTCATGGCATCTAGCTTCACAGACTTCACAGTACCCATTCTAACCGCCACCAACACACACACACACAGACTCACAACCCACACACGCACACATGCACATGCACGCACGCACCCACCCTTGCCTTCACTAACGCACATGCGAACCCTTTGGCCCCGTACCAATCTCACTTCCAGAGTTGGCCCAAAAAAGTGGCCCAAACTTCTGATTTACCGCTGCAATGGCCTTCCCAAGCCCAAGAAGTGACCAAAGTCCAAGCCCCAAATGTTCCAAACCCAAAAAGTGACCTCTCAAGTCCATATGGCCATGGGTCAAAAGCCCGTACCCCCAAGCGAACATCCCAATCCCCACTAAAATAGACTCAATGATTGGTTTTGACCCACAGCCATATGAACCCAAGGAGTGAGCCACCCGAGTTTCCTCCCCGCCCAACTTTTGCTCAACTCCGGAAGCCTCGAGGAGCTGCTCCTCGCTGTGCTGCTCAAAGGCCTCCCTGAGGTCCACCAGGTTGTCCTAGCGCAGCCCCCCTCCCACGGCAGCGAGGATGGAAAATCACCGCCGATGTGGCGTGGTTCTGGTGTTCAAGCACCAAAAAACAAATCTCGCGAGTGCTTTGGTGATGTGTGTGGGGGAGAACGTCGAAAAGCCGAAAGAATTGTGGGGGATCACATCACAAAATACACTTTGGTTGTTTTTCTCAAAAGAGTGGACCCCCAGTACAGTGCGTGTCAAATGTCTCCCTCCAGCAATCATGGAAGCTGACGATCACAGGGTTTAAGGCCACTTTCCTTTTGGGCAAGCCACAAAGGGTTTCTACTCCCGCTGGGAAAAGGGTAACAGTGGAGTGTTTCTCAACTGGTGGAGCCCCTTTGATCTCAAACTATTAGAAAGAGCAACCAAAAGGAAAGATGGCAATTGCGGTGGATTACTATTTTGAGAACCCAGATGGCACAATTCCCTTTTCTGGCGTCAATGGCCCGAAATGCTTGGGAACGCTCATGTGGCCCGCAGAGAAAGTTTATTGAATGCGACTCTCCAAGGATGCCAAATAAAACCACGGGCCAAACCACAATGACGCCCTTCATCCCGCAGAGAGTGCTCCTGCCAGAGATACCTCGCATCTTCATCCAGGCCAAGCTCCTGAATAGCAGTTCCGTCAAATACCCACAGGCGATGTCCGCGCACAAACCCGCAAAGGATCAGCCTGGGAGGCTGATCTTGTTGCGCTCTGAACGACGCTGACCTCAAAAGAGTTCGCTGAGGAACACAATGCCTCTGGCTGCTGTTGACCCCTCTGCAAAGAGTTGAACTTTTTGTGGGTCGAATGGAAAATCCACAGATCCCAAAAAGTTAAAATCTAAAGATGCAACCAACCGCCACAGAGTAGAGAGCGCGCATTCTGTAGCATCACCTCGGTGCCTGGTGCCTATCCCAAAAGTCTGTGGGCCAAAGCAACCAGCGTTTCCAACTCCGCGACTGGCAGCTGGTTCAGCCTTTGCTTGTGGCTTGGACGAAAAGCGCCATGAAAGACAAATGCTCCCTCAGGCACCGCTTTGAATATTTGAGCACATGGCAGAAAAGCATAGTTTCCGATTGGCAGGGGAGGTCGATTGCAATGGACATGCGGTCAACCCCCCGTTCGGAAAACCGGCAGTCCACAACCTCTTGCAAAACTGGATTTCTCATCACAGTCATTTGAAGAAGAGAAAAGAAACGCCGAGCAGAACAACCACTCTCAACTAGACTCTTTTCTATCAACTGCCCGGAGTACACAGGCGTCCCCAAACAAAAGAAGCATTTGGGTGGCTCGTCTTTTGGATTTGGAACCCCCAAAGCGGCACAACCACTTCCCTCTTTTCCCATGAGACACAGTACCAACTCCAGGGAAACAAAAAAACAACGTACCAACCCCAAAAAACGTACCAACTCCGGGGAAACAAAAGAAAACGTGCCCACTCCAAAAATCGTACCCACTCCAAAAAAGAAGATCCAGGTCACCCAGGTCGCAGCCGGAAATTTCCCGCCTCGGCGATCTCCAGGCCCATTCGACGCTGCCGGCACTCTGCACGCTCCTCGGGCGATGGATCGGTTTTTTGGGGCGTGCAAAGACTGCCCCCGCCCGGGGCCCAGAGCAAACCCCAAAAAGACATGGGACAAGTTAAGCCTTTCGGGCTTACTTCCGCATTTACTCTGATCTTTTTAGCTGATCCTTGAGGAGCCGTTGTCAGAATCGGAAACTTTCATGTTCTGTGTGCCAAATCGTTTCTTTGACCTAGCTCTTGCACTCTTTGGGAGCGTTCCTTTTTTTAAGGCCTTCCTCAGAGGGAGTGATGCATGTTGGGGATTCCATTTGCGGATCCTGTTGGCTCAGCTCAATAGCGTATATGGGCTGTGCAAGAAGCGAGCACGGTCCCGACACCGTGCCCGGACTGGCTCTCTCCTGTTTGCCTGTCCGTCATTTTTGGACAGCTACAGTCTTTGTTTCCAGGGACCCCCAAAGAGGCACCAAGTTTGCTTTGAGCAAGAAAGGTCAGAAAGGCCTACCACCAAGGAACCAGAAAGACCAACAACTCCTCCAAGCTCTTTCGTTTTTTTTTCTCTCTCTCTCTCTCTCTCCTTCTCTCTCTCTCTCTCTCTCTCTCTCTCTCTCTCTCTCTCTCTCTTTCTCTCTTTCTCTCTCTCTCTCTCTCTCTCTCTCTTTCTCTCTCTCTCTCTCTCTTTCTCTCTCTCTCTCTCTCTCTCTCTCTCTCTCTCTCCCCCTCTCCTTGTCTCTGTGGACGTATCGAGCACGTGTACATACCCTCAACGCCTGCCCTCAACAGAAAGGCTTTCCGCAAACTAGGCAAATAGGATACCCTCACTCCAACTAACATGGCACCTGACAAGGGGTCCCTTCAAGACGAAACTGATTTTCCAGGTACCCTCCCACAGGTGCCTTTGGTGGGAGAAAGGGTAAGCAAAAGAGCAGTGGCGACTGGAAACAAGCAACAGCAACAACCGATACCAGAGCCCACGCTTCGATCGAATCATCTTTTCGGCTCCTGGATCAGCGGCGCGAGGATCCGAAAGTTGGGCAGGGTCACAGAGATTCGGTCCAGCAATAGCCTCCAGGCCAAGGCTGTCCGAGAGCCCTCCGGTTGCTTGCGAACAGAAATCCGTCCCATTGCTCACTTCCCTCATGGAAAAACAGCCCTAAGAGCTGCAATAGGCCTCACTCAAAGAGGCTAGAGGTCATCCATCGACATCAGAGAAACTTAAAGTATGTCGGCAATCAACAATAAATCCTGAGCAACAATACTCGACAGTACTCACATAGCAACTTACCCCCCCCCCCCCCCAAAGCATCAGCAGAAACCGCCACGATCCAAGGGACTGCCTCCCTACGTCTGCCAATCAATTTGGCATGTCTCGAGAAAAGGTGAGAGCCACAAGACTCAAAGGAAGCAAAGCAGGCTGCAGTGAATGAAGTGCAAAAGGCTGTGTTCAGCTTCAGTACTTTTGCGCGGCAAAGCAGACCACCTCTAGTGACTCTAGTGGCAATTGAACAAATGCCAATGACTTGGGCCGCGAACTATTCTTCACCAGCCTGAGACTCTCTTTTCCCTGAGGGCAGTATCCAAACAGATGACCTGAAGATAAGGTGGTGGAGACTCCATACTTGATAACCGAACAAGCGGCAGCTAGGAGAGAAGCTGGCCTACAAATGAAATCACCGAAGCGTTTACGTTCTCACTACCAATGGGCTGCGTAAAGAACCCTGGTACAAACACCGGCTTTACACCCTGGTCAGAACAATGAGTTGTCAACGATGCAGAACGCATGAATCTTGAAGCCAACTGACCGGATGCTTGCGCAGTGGCCTTCCTGCTATTGCCTAGCGTCCTTGGCAGCAACGCAGACGCTTGCTCCCCCGCCAACGACACGGAAAAGTGGGATGCTGGCGGGCCGTGTTGTTCAACACGAACTTCGGTTTCATTCCGACCTACAAAACGAAATTCACCCCTTTGGCAGCAAACGCCGCTTTGGTGTCGGGTTGCCAAGATCAATGGCTCCTGCTCCCAGCATGTCGGCGCCGGTCGCCAAGGGGCTTCCCTTCCATGTTCTCGAAGTTCCTCGCGCCAGGCACCACCTCCAGCACTGCGTCCACCACCTACAGAAGCCCCACCCCCTTTGCCTTGCATATGTCACAGCCCTGCTGCTTGCTACCCTGCAGCCCCGCCTCCTGCGTGCCGGGGAAGAAGCCGCTTCGCTGCATCACTGCCAGCAGCTCCTCTACCGACAGCACGCCACCTCAGCGTGAGGGGAGGGGCAATCAGCGGCGCCGTGCCCTACTGCCGCGCATATGGCTTGAAGTTCAACTCGGGCCGCAGACTCGGCCTTGCTCTATTCCCGCACAGCACCCCACGCTAGGCTTTGCGACACTCACGCCTATTTCTGAGGAGCCACCCAGAAAAGCACATCAACGCCGATACTGCGGGCTGGGCGGTATTGCGTTTAACGAGCGCCAATGTTCCACGAGAACGCCTTACAGGACTCGTGCGATCTCGAAGCCTGTCTGTCAATTTAGCTTGAGCTTGGCATCTGCGCAGTCAACCAAGCTGTGGGAGAGTAAAGCAATTCTCGCTAGCAACTGTGCAAGAAGTCTCTAGCTTGCCCAGCTCGCAAATGGCGATCTTCCAGTGGATTCAAGCCTGAAAACAATTGCGCGTCTCAAAATTACAGACCTCTCCAGGCCCCCGTAAACCAACAAAAAGTTCCCCAACTTGAGACAAATCTAGGTGGGCACTAAGATTAAGAACCTTTCAAGGACGGTTCAATGGCAACATTCGACCAGACAAGGGGTTTTGTAGCATATCAGCTGTGTCACCTTAGGTTCAGGCGAAATTTCGCGCGTGGACCCCAGTCGCGTCAATCTGGTCGCAAGTTCTTCAGATGGCAGGATTTGGGGTTGTCTCCAAATGGGGGAGCCCCCAAGAATGATCCCAAATAGGGTACCCTCAGAAAGGACACACCCATTTGGAAGTTGGAAGTTCGGTCTGGATCAGGGTAGGACGTGTAGCCCCAACATAATACGGGGGTCGCACAAGGTGTCAGCTTACGTCACTGCATGTCAAGTGCAAGTCACATGGCAAAGTCAGTATGCGTTTCAAAGCTGACTTCTGGCGCACCCACATCCACAAAGAAAGCTCCCGGTCAACCTTAGAAACAAACGACACGCGGCGCGCGCATCCATAAAGAAAAACCGGGATGAGTCAGCAAAGCTCGTGATTCAAGCCCAAAGATACCATGGCACAACCCTCAAATCCTATGCCTTGAAAGAACAAGAGCCGCTCCGTGTTGTGCTTGCCGTTTTGGAGCCAGGAAGTGTCATGGCTGAAGTTGGTATCTTTTGGTTGTCCAGAAATGGAGGCCCCGCTCTTGGTTTCTTTTGGTTGTCCAGAAATGCGGGACCCCCTTTTGGTATCTTTCGGTTGTCCAGAAATGGGGGATCCCCTGTTGGTACCTTTTGGCTGTCCAGAAATGGGAGCCCCTGTTGGTATCTTTGGGTTGTCCAGAAATGGCGGCCCCGCTGTTGGATCTTTTGGTTGTCCAGAAAATGGGCGAGCCCCTGTTGGTATCTTTTGGTTGTCCAGAAATGGGGGAGCCCCTGTTGGTATCTTTTGGTTGTCCAGAAATGGAGGGGCCCCGCTAGTGGTATCTTTTGGTTGTCCAGAAATGGAGAAGCCCCTGTTGGTATCTTTTGGTTGTCCAGAAATGGGGCCCCCGCTTTTGGTATCTTTTGGTTGTCCAGAAATGGGGGAGCCCCTGTTGGTATCTTTTGGTTGTCCAGAAATGGGGGCCCCGCTTTTGGTATCTTTGGGTTGTCCAGAAATGGGGGCCCCGCTTTTGGTATCTTTTGGTTGTCCAGAAATGGGCGAGCCCCTGTTGGTATCTTTTGGTTGTCCACAAATGGGGGATCCCCTGTTGGTATCTTTTGGTTGTCCAGAAATGGGGCCCCCGCTTTTGGTATCTTTTGGTTGTCCAGAAGAGAAGCCCCTGTTGGTATCTTTTGGTTGTCCAGAAATGGGGGAGCCCCTTTTGGCATCTTTCGGTTGTCCAGAAATGGGGGAGCCCCTGTTGGTATCTTTTGGTCTGGTTGTTCCATGAAAAAACCGGATCTTTTGATCAACCCCCATATCAGATCCAAAACGTAGGTTTCTTGGAAGGCCTCGTTGTTTGTTTTCCGTTTGAGAAGTCACTGCTTGGGACTCCATGCCTTTCTCAAGGGAATCCATAAGTCACAAAGAAATCCGGCCAGGGTATCCCCTGATAGAAATCCGATAGAATGAAATGGGCTAGGACTACCGTGCTTAGCATTTGTCTTGCGGCAGATTGCCTGGTTGGGATAGAAAACAAATCCCAAATGGCAGAGATAAATCTGGGGAAACGTTCACGCGAAGCTGGACCTGGACCTGTTGAATCTACAAATTTTGGCGGGCCAACCGCGGTGGGTCCTTTGCGTGGCAAAGCCCAAGAGCCCTCCACCAATTCGGATGCTGAGAACGGCCCCATGTCACGACACTTGGCTGAACGTGTTGGCGTGCCATCTTTGTTTCGGGTGGTGGGGTCCCTTGCCATGCAAACTGCCAAATACCCTGGGAAACGATTGGAAGCTAGGAAGCAGGACGAACACCTATCCAAACCTATCAGGAAAAAGGCCAGTCAGGTATCCAATGGCTTGAGCCACCACCCATCTGCTTCCGTCTCAAGCATGTAGTCAGGCAAACCTATCATTCACCCACAATTGAACTCCAGTACATGGGGTTGTCTCAAAATAATGGACTTCTCCGCAACAAAAAAGACAAAGCGGGAAGAAGAGAATGGGTTCCCTTTAGGTGTGTCCCTTTAAGCATTTTCGAGACTAACCCAAAACAACGGTTTCCCTTTGCGATTCTTTTCCTCTAAACAGCCCCAAGAATGATACCACCGCAAAGCACAGTGTAGCATGTTTCATGTTAAAATCACATCCCCACCAACGGTCTCTACTGATCCCGACTCAAACCCGCCCAAACCGCCAACCAGCCCCGCCAACCCGCGCCCAGCCGAGCGGCTCCGGTCCTCTGCCTCCGTCCAGAGCTGCATCAGGCCCGGCCTCGTGAGTCGGTGTGGGGTCTTCGTTTGGTGTTCGAAGGAAAGAAATCGCATGGGAAGCTGTGGGGAACCCCTTTTGGCTTCCCTTGGAAAAAAAAGAAGGAAAAACAAACTCTACAAAAAGAAATGGGTACCCTCGAAAACAAACAACCCGAAATGGGAAGCTGTGACCTCCTTGTTTGGTGGTTTTCGTGGGGAAAAAAAAAGACTGGCTGTGGCATTTGAGGGCGCCCTTCCAAAACCAAGACATGGCATCCGCATTGGGACCGAGCAAACAACGCCAGCTCACCGTGCAACCTTTGTGGGGTGGTTGAAAAATGGAAATCAACCGGGAAAAAGAAAAAAAACCATGTGTGGGGTGCCCCTATTTTGACACACGTACACACACGCAAACATTTGCAACACCGCTCTCCTGCGATGAAGTAATTTGGCTTTGGAGTGCCCAAGGAACAACATGGAAATTCTCGCATGAGCCGGGGGAATCAGAATCTGGGATTTTGATCATGGGCAAGAAACAGCCGCGGCTTCCTTCGGATCGGACATCCAAAGTGTTTCATCGATGGCACCAAAAAATCACGCCGGCCGAAGGCAGACCTGCACCCCGACATGGGCTGAAAATGGGGCACCCCACCACCCCCACCACCCATTTTCTAGTTGTTTTTTCCCTTTGGGGTGCCCAGCAAAACACCCACCCAGTAGGTTGGGGTTCCCCCAATGGGCGCTTCCCCCCCAACGCGTTTCTAAGCGCGCCTCCGGAGCTCCGCCAGCTGCACGCGGAGCTGCGGAATGATGCGCTGCACCAGGAAGTCGAAGTCCACCTGACGTGCGGCGCGCGAGGCGCACGGGTGAAGCCGAGAAGCCGAGAGCCAGGGACGCCTGGCACGCGGGACTTGGCGGTTTTTTTAGGACCGGCGGCATCCCGAAATGGCGCTTCGGCTGTCCGTGAAATTCCGTATTGGGAAGCACCAACAAAAGGGTAGCCTCCCAAAACTAAAGAGCTGGGGCAAACTGCGGGTTTTCGTCCTTGGTTTCCATGTACCAAGGTGCCATGTTGGTACATATGTTTGAGCCACAGCCATATCGCGGGCATGGATTCTTCCCACTCCTCACCTCCTCTCTGTCCGGAAGGTTGTGTCCAGTAGGGATGGGTACTGAGAGGAGAAGTCGAGAGAATGATGTGGCACTGGATACAGCTTTTGGGAAAAGTGGCCATGACGCCAAGTGTCACAAAACGATCATCAGCTCTGCCAGTCAAAATGCGGTGCAACAGCTAGAAGTCACCCAGGGTAGTTGAAAAGTGCTTACCCAACCTGATGGTAACCCACAAACTTGGCTGGAAGTGTCCTAAGTGGGTTGTAACCAGAGTGAATGTATCCAAGAACCAAGGTTTATGTACCTTGACTATGGCGGGCTACCTACGCCCCCAAGTAAGGCTTCGCCTCCAAGCTGTCCACCTCCGACAGAAGCTGCCGCACGACCGCACGCTCCGGCGTGGTCCTCAGTTAGGGTGGGTTAGGGTGGGTTTGGGTTCAGGGCTGGACAACGGGTGTGTTGATGAGGCTTGGTTTAGGGGGGCAATATGGTATCTTTGGGGTGTTGACTAGGCATCCCACGAGTATGAAGCCAAACATCGGCGTGTGCCACCTTTGAGCGAGGTCACCCACCAGTCCAGCGGGCAAACATGGAACCTAAACCTAGACCAAGACAAGATTGTTCGACCAGATGTCCCGTTGCTGTCCGTGTAAAGCCACCAAACAAGGGGTTCCAACCAACATGTCACCTGGGAGGTACCTGGAAGATTCATTTCCTTTGAAGGGAGACCCTGTCAGTTGCCATGTTAGTTTGAGGAAGGGTACCAGCTCAAAGAAAACGACACACCCAGAGATGTGGCCGCAACCCTCAGGCCACTCCTGGGTCGGAAGCCCATCTCCCCGAGCACGGCCTGGAGATCTGCCTGGCCGCGGACAGGGGTGAAAATTGAGGTACCAGGAATTCGACCACTGGCTTTTTTGTCCATGTTTCCATTTTCCAGGGCAAACCATTTTGGGAATCCCCTTTTTTGACCCAAGGTGATTCAGTGATGGTTAGGCCAGAACCATGCTTCAAGAATTGAAAAGGATATCCGCACCCATTTATTGCTGGAATTGCATTACCCTCCAATTGTCCAGGTTTTGATTGTGACTCAGGTGAAAGTCCAAAGCATTCCACTTTAAGCGGGACTGGCTGTTCCCTTTTACCCACTGGACCCCTTTTTTTCCATTGAAGGGTCGGGAAACGGAAGTTTGTGATTGCCTTGGGGTGCCAGTGGGGCTCGGATTTGCTCCAGGTTTTGGCGGAGACCGGATCTCTGCTTCACGCGCCCTAACGCGCCTGGTCGATCTTGCTGTCGCCCCGGCAGATCTGGCGCAGCATCGCCTCTCAATGGACAAGTCAAAGTTCGGCCAACCCGCAAGGGGACCAGGAGGAGGAGGGCGGGTTCCCATCTCACAAGGTGAAGGCTCAAGCCACAGACGTCGACGACGATCTTTGCATCTGGAACTAAGCGCAGTGAAAGTCATGAAATGCGGTCTGGGCGGTGGATCTGATGTTGTTCAAATCAGAAGGTTTGGTTTCAAACCGGCCAAGGCTAGAAGCTCCAGGCGTAAAAAAAAATAATGAGGCACCGCACACCCCTTGCTCTTCAAGGGCATGTCCAAAGCAAAATGCTTGGCCTTGCACTTGGTATCAGAGTAGGCTGAAAAGGGGGGCCAAAAGGCAAGGGCTTTCATTTTCCCAACAAACAAATGCAACATGGAAGCACAAGAATAACCTGTTAGCTTTTTGCGCGCGTACACGCTCGTTTCAGCAAACAGCTGGGAAGCCTCCACCACATGTCTAGCCTCCAACTAGCCAGCATCAAAATAAGGGGTCACTTCATCACCATCATTTTGTCGCAGATGAATTGCTTCCAAGGGAACTTCTTGCAATCGGCTGCCTCTGTTTTGCACATTGCCGAGGATGGGGCCGCTTGAGGGGAAAGCGCAAAGGCCCAACCCCGAAACACCGAGAGACTCGCCTGGTACGCTTGCACTTCCTGGGGACATGGAAGGACTGAAAGGCAATCAAATCGTGGGTGGTTGTTGGTTTGGTCTTCCTTTAAAACAAGCCAAAAGGGGTTCCCCTAAATAAGGACAGAACCATATGGTCCTGCTCCCCCCTTGCAATTCCTTTGCGAGGGCCAAATCCTCCGCGATCAAGTACCGCCCCTTCTCCGGATTCAGATTACGTTGGTCTTGTGCCAGCCTCCCAACCTCACCCAAGCACTCTTCGCCTACTTGGAGCCTACCCAGTTCATCATATGCCCAAGAGGCCGTGTTAGGGGCTCGGAAATACCTCGGTGTGGTGCACCGATTTCGAGCTCAAAGAAACATACCGGAGTTTCTCAGGGAATCTTCTGAGACAAACACAGAATCGTTTTCATATCCACCATTCTGCATGTGCAAAGGGGGCATGGATCCTAAACTCCGGCCACGTCTCAGCATCGTTAGGGTTGCACTCCGACTTTGGCCTGCCCAAGGGGAAAGCCTCAGATACTGTCTGTCAACTTGGGATTCATCCGGAGGACCTTACTCATTAGGGGGCTCCCACAGAATATGTTAGGCCGGCTGATTCCTCCAGTGTTCTTCTCGCTTGCAACTTTGCGGTCGCAAACACCAGGCAGTGCAATTAGAGACACGGAGAGGTGGGAATCGCTGCAATTATCAAAAAAATACCTTGAAGGCGAGCACCATGAAGACAAACCTGGACCCAAGGATGTCACAAAACGCCATTTCCGCACATCCCTGAAAACTGGCGATAAGCTGGAGTCCACAAGTCCTTGGGCTTGATGTTGAACAGGATTTCTGCCACGTTCACCTGCGGTAGGAGAGAGGCTTTGAGGTTATGAAGAAAAACCAAGGAAACCCGGACACATTGCCATTGGGGTTTTTTAAAACGGGACTTCTCCACGTGGGTTCGTCTCAAAATAGGGAACCTCCTAAGATTGGCAGGTTTGGTTTTGGTTTTAAGCCAACCGCAAACAAGGGTCAAAAGCCCGCCACGACAATGCGCTCGCGAGCGCCGGCAGGCGCGCGCGCGCGCGCGCCAGCAGGCGCCTCGTCAGAATCAGGGATGGCGTGCACAGTGCCGACTTTGCGGGCCTTCTCACCTAAGGCGAACGCTTCCATCACGAGCAGCTCACGCTGTTCGAAAAAACGGTGCGCGTTTCTTGGGTGGCTTGTCTTTTTTTGAGTTAGTATCCCATGTTTTGTGGCTTTCAAGGAAAACCTGGGGGTGTTTTGTGGGGTACCCAGATTTTGGTGTTCAATGGAAACCAAAAGGAAAACCACCATTCTGGGGGGGAAGAAACCCCTTTTGGTTGGTTTAAATGAAAAACCAACAGCAGATCACCCGAACAAAAGACACACCCACTTGGATTCGTTTAATGGTTTTGTTGGGTAAGACGGGGCCCATTACACAACAGAAAACGAACACGCTCATCAGAGGCGTGGTAGCACGTTGCGGAGGATCGGTGGATGACTGGTGCGGACTGCTGGACGCTCACACTGCTGGTGGGATTTGAATCACCTAGAACCTTCGCCGCATGGAAGCATCCTGCGCTGCCAGCAGGCCTGCCTGGGAATGGATATCTGACGCCAAATTCAGCAAGGGCCGGGACCTTCATTAAAGATGAGCTCGGTTTACAGCACCTGGGGAGGTCGTTATAGTTTGCACGCAAATCCGTGGATATCTACAGATCCATGGTCCCATGTTTTGACCACCAACCCACGGATTCTATCTCCAGCCATGGCGCGCTGAGTGCGCTTCCGCATGAGCGTCAGCCGCCAGTTCCGCTCCTCGCCTCGGAGCCCGGACGGCTCTTGGGCACGCCGGCGCCAGTTGGGTGACGAACTAGCCAACAGCTCAAAAAAAAGGAAAACTTTCGGACAAACAAAGTGTGTGGCGCATGCGCAATGTTTTCCTTCTTGCAATCATGGCCTAGCTTAAGACCTTGTGAGGTCTGCTCTGTTTTCAAGCAACTCCATAATGCTCAAATTGCAGCTTGGTTCAGGCAAGCGCCCGAACGGAAGATCTGTTTGGCGAAAGCAAACCAAACTGACGCTTCTCGAGCTCGAAAAGCCAAATCCCGCGCCCCAACTCGGAAAACCCTCTTCATACCGACCAGCAAGCTGATTCTCCTCAGGAATGTCGGTTGGTTAGTCACGGTGCAGACTGTCCGAGCAAGTGGCAAAAATCCAAAATGAGGGCGGGCAGAGCTGCGAACACAGCCTCATGGCTGTGTCAGCTTTCTGCCGGCCCTCACCGGATAAAGGGTATTTTCATACCCCCTGTTCCGCGTAAATCCGTGTATAAATGAACCCCCGGTCTCCAGGTAATCCGCGTTAAATGGAAAACCAGCATCATGGTAAAACAAAAACAAAAGGAAAGAAGTAGGCATCAGCCCAACATCCCACTCCAGGTTTCCTAGGAGTGGTGGAGAAAAGGGCGCCCGCCTCCCTGGCTACGGCGGCCATGCCAACCGGCCAAGGCAGGGGCTACCCTTTCGCAACGCCTGCCGTGTCCTGCGCCTGGACGTCCCGCATGTGGAGGCTTAAGAGGTCCGGAAGGAGCAGCCAGGACGGGTGAAGCCATCCACCACCGAGATGCGTCGCTGCAAGTCGAACCCAGTGAAGTCCAAGTGAGTGAGTTGGTGCGCCCACGTATTTGAACATCGTTTGACATGGTGGAGTGATGCGAAAACTTTGCCGATCTCTTTGAGGCCGCATAGGCGTTGCCTTCGTTGTCCGTCCGCAAGGGGATGTGGACTTCCAAGTGGTGCGAGTTGACCCTGTCAGCCGCAAACATGAAGAGGAGAAGGAACCCCACGAGCTCCAGGGCTGCAATTCTTTTTACTGGACGGGAAAGAAAAGGAAGGGGGCAACCAGGTCACCTCAGAGACGTCATACCTGGCCAGCTTCTTGTGCGGGAGCCAAGCCGTGCCCTTGCTGATGTCCACCTGATAGCCGAGCCACCGGTTCAGGGGCCCAGCTCATTCTTGCGCCATGAGATGGGGCAACCCGCAAGGGAGAGGAAAAGCAGGAAGATGCCCGACGTCAGTAGTCCTGCCCTTTTCCGAAGCAGGAGCATGAAGTCATCCACGAACACCATCACCCATAGGAACTTCACCGAGCTGGAAGGTAGATGTGGGGGCCGTTTTCCGCGTTGAGTGGGTCCACTCGGCTTGGTTGAGTTGATTGGTCCTCCTCAGCTCCTTTTCCTTGGCGTCAAAGGTCATTCCTCTTCACCGCCGCCAGGAGTGTTGGTCGCGCTGGTCCGAGAGCGCAATCATGTGCTCCGGGGAGACGCGGCCCGGCCGCAGGCCGCCTCTTCCGCTGCCAGGACCGCCCCTTCCTCGAACGCTGTCTTTTCGACACTTCCACCGTGGGCCCTCCTCCGTGGTGGCACTGCCAGAGCTCTCCACCGTCTCGTCCGGCTCCTGCTTGGGCATTCCGGCTCCACCCCGAAGAGGACATCTTGGCGTTTGCCGTTCTCCATGTTCACCTCCACCATGTTGCCATGCGCGTAGTTGAAGGACTTGACATCTGTCACGTGGATGATTTCCCCCCTCAAAAAGGGTTTTCGCGGTCTCATGAAAATCCCAGGATTGCTTGCCCATCTCCAGGATGACACTCCGGTCCGTCATCATGGCCATGCAGACCATGAACTGCTTGAAGATGCTCTGCAGGTTATAGGATTTCCTTCTCTCCCCCATCCCCACCTTGGTTAGTGTAAGCCAGCTCCCTCTTTTGACAATTGCCGGCATGGCCTTCGAGTCTATTGTGGCCATGGCGTAGACCTTCCCAGAGTGGGCTGACTGTCTCCGTCCTACAGTACCGATAATGCCAGGCCTGCAATGGCCCTCCAGCTGCCACTGGCTTGGGTTCCAAGCCCCCTTCCGCCTGGGCGTTGCGTGGATGTTGGCCATGTCCGGGCTGAAGATTACATACACCCTCCACCCTCCTCCCCGGCACCTGCAGGTCATCCACCGAGGAGGACGTGTATCGCTTGGCTGGTCCCAGACGTTGTTGACCATTTTCCACCCCTTGCCATCCGGGCTAGGCGACTGAAGGGTGGTATGCTTGGCCAGAACTGGAAGTACCGTGTGTCCGCACAAGAGGCACTTCACCCTGTGGTCATTCTCAAATCGGGCTCCACGCCTCGGTGTGCCGCAGAGGTAGGGCGCCTGGTGCGTCTCCATCCGCTCCCTGGATGGTGTCCCTGTCGGGCCCAGGCGCTTTGCAGCTTCGCGGTGTCCTCCCAAGTTCTTGGGGTACTCCTCGACTGAGCTTGGCCAATACCGACACCTGAGTATGCCCGCCGTTTCGCTATTGAAGAGCTTAGTCGGGAAGTGGTCCGGCTCCACCAACTAGACGGTAGAGCCCTTTCTTCCATCCCAATTTGAGTGGATGAGCACTCTCTCCTCCTTCTTGAGGGTGTACCACTTGTGGGCGACTTCCGCTGAAAGTTCGAGGCCTGACCGGGTCCTCCTCCACATACCACCGAGAAACTGCCGGCCACCAGACATGGTCCTGGGGAAAAAGGTCGATGATGCCCATTTATTTCCGCATCCCCCGCCAAAGTCCAGCTTGTCCTCCAGCTCTTTAAACACCTGTGAGGGGTCCATGCTACCAGGTCCGCCGTGGTTGGGCCACAGAAGACTCCGTGCCCACGTAGTGCCATTGGTCCATACAGCCGCCCTAACCGCCTCGGACCAGACCTAGGTGTGGGCAGCCTTCTCCTTCTCGGCTTCCTTGGCTGCTTCCAGACAAGCATCGTGTCTGGCATCCATAGCAGCATCCATAGCCTGTTCCACTTCACCTAACAGGAAAAATCAAAAGGAGAAAGATCCGTGATCAATCTAGGGGTCAAGTCCGTGACTTGCGCCAAAATGGCCCCGAGCAAAGAGAATCCGAGTCAGCAAACGAACCCGACAGAAACGAGGCACACAGCACTTGGCCCCATGACATCACAGGTTTCCCAAAACAAGTTTGGACAACATGAGAAAAGAGGAAGGAAGGAAGGAAGGAAGGAAGGAAGGAAGGAAGGAAGGAAGGAAGGAAGGAAGGAAGGAAGGAAGGAAGGAAGGAAGGAAGGAAGGAAGCAAGGAAGGAAGGAAGGAAGGATGGAAGGAAGGAAGGATGGAAGGAAGGAAGGAAGCCGGAGTTAAACGTGCAGGCGAACAACGGTGGTAAACAAGCAGTAAAGCTTCAGGATAAACCACCAACATCATGGTGTCAATTCGCTGCAAACCCTTGCAGAAGGGTTCCTTCGCATTGTGTTTCACAGCGGCACATGCAAAAGGGATTGCAGAATTCTCCCTCTTCCCCTGCTGCCTATCATCAACGTGTGCCAGATTGACAACCCAAGAACGCCAGCGTCGACTTCATATGCTGCGGCTCCAAAGCAACATCCCCTATATAACTGTCATCCCCCATGCACCAACGGCGCTCCAGCCGGGTTGCCCAGGTTGTGTGACCTCGTGACCAGGCGTTTCATCACCTGAGTTGCCGCGATGTACCAGGCATCTTGACCAATTGAGCGGATGCAGAAGATGAGAAGAGGGTCACTTCTTTGATAATGGCCGTCTTTTCTTTCCCCTGGCACGGATTACAACACGCATCCTGGCTGGGACTGCCCACAAATACCGGCAGCTTATGCAAGTTTGGTGGATCATGCTGTTCCGCGTTCTTGGTGCTGTGTCGGTTGTTTGGTTGTTTACGCGCAGCTACGGCTGAATCTGGATCATCATTTTACGGCTCGCATCCTCCTCGAGTAGACGACGCAAATCCAAAATTGGAGGGTCTAGCGAGCCACCTCAAAACGAACAGATGACTTTGACGGTCAGGCACCTATCTTGGTATTGACCCAGTGGAGCTTCTTCCCTCAGCCCTCGCCAGACCCTCCTTGCAGCCTCGATTTACCTTGAAAGGGGTCTAAAGATTTCTGGATGAGGAGTCAAGACCTAACCAAGCTCAACGGCCCTGAGAAAAATGTTGAACCAGCACGCCTTGTGTATCGGGTGACAGGTCAACATCCTTTACAAGCAATGAGCAAAATCCATTGACCGCCATCCTCAACCACCGCAAAGCACACTCCTTACTGCCATAAAGAAGAAAACGAAAAACATGCCAACACGCCGCAGCCAGAACATCGAGACAAAGTTCTATCATTCGTTTCCCCCCCACCCACCTTTGGAGGTGAGGGGTGGGTCATGTCCCGAAAGGATGGGAGTAAGGCAACCAAATAGAACCCCCCGCGCGGTACGCGGTACGGCCAAGCGACGCGATCTCCCAACGGCGTGCGCTTGCCACTGCCCTCTGAAGTGGGCTCCTCGAGTCAAGTCTCTAGTAGCAGGCCCCAAGAACCCGTTTGCACGGCGCCACTTGGATGGTCTTTGTCCTTGGGTCATTTCGTTTCTCATTCCCTGCCTATCGAACCGCTCGCAAGTCTTCCAGGGATCCGAATCTTTTCAGGAAACCATCAAAGAAAAAAACTCAAAAAGTCAAACCATCCAAAAACTGCAGGGGAAACGCTTCTGTTCGAAAGACCCGCCGCTTTGCATTGACTGCACTGGCAGCCCCGTCCTTTTCCAGCGACCGAGACCAGCCCTCCGGCGTGGGCGGCCTCGAGGGCGGGAGGTCCGGGTCCACCTGGAAGGCTTCGATCAATCAAAGCCCTGGCTGCTCCAATCGGTGGCTTCCTTGTTTGGTGTTGTACCTTCCCTCGTTGGCTTGAGGGGTTCAAATCCAAAATGTTGTGCCAATCCAAACCAACTAGGGGTAAGCTGACATATGGCTGTGGCTAAAAATGCAACACAGCCGGGGCAAACCTATTCCTTGTTTGCACGTACCGGGGTAGCTGTTTACCACTTTTGAGCCACCATCCACTCTCGGCTGAGGGGTAGTTTGCCGACATGCGCGGAAACGAATTTCAGGGCTATCCCATTGCCGGTTTCTGCCAAACATGCGGACTTTCGGACATGGGCATGTACATGCAGGTAGAATCAAATCAATCAACAGGCCACAGGCTTTTCCATTCTTAGAAGCTTTTTCAGCGCCAAGCAACAGCTTGGATTTCTGGTGGACGCTCGCCCAATAACGCACCAAAAACGCCACGCCCACAGCCCAATTCCTTGGCTCCACCTGCCTCCATGGGCTCCGTGGGCTCTGGAGGCTCCTCCTGGCGTTGCCAGGCACCCGCTTAGCGGCTTGGATGCACTCAGACGTTTGCAGTGTGTCAGGTGACTAAAGTTGGGTTGGGGAAACGTTGAGACTTTGGGGTTGGACGAGCTTGCGCTCGAGCTTGTGCCTGGAGCGGCTAGGGTATGTGTAGCATGTAGTTTGGCATTCTGTTCCTAGCTTGACGGACAAGCTTGGCGCCTCCATCAACACCGTGTGGCACGATATAGGTTTTCCGGTATTTTTATACACACTGACAAATGCTGCGCTCCCTCCCCACATGGTCTGTGCCAATACTGGATCGTCCTGTAATCTGACGCAATCAAGCATCAGCAAAGTTGGCAACAGCTTAAAATTAAAAAATACCTCTAATGTCATAAGTCGGCAAGATGCCCATGTTCAATTTGCAAGTAGACCACTTCGTGTGGGTGTGTGCTTGTCCCCCGCAGTGATCCTTGAACAGTGTCTCCCTTGTTCTTTGGGCTTCCTTTGCGCTTTGTGCTGCTTGCCACCGCGGCTTCCCGTCAACACACAGCAAAGTGTTTTTCCCCCCCCGAAGCAAGAACTGCAGGAGACCAAAACCTTATCTTTGAAGAGGTCTTGCTATCTTTGTTTTTACCAGGGACCCTTTGGTGGACATCATTTAGGTGAGGAATTATGTCCACCGACCTTTTCAGGGCCTCCAACCACTAAAAATCCTAGCCATACTCCTTCTCGCCTCCCTCGCTCCACCCAAACCCCCCCGCCCGTTGGCACTGGCGGCCTCTGCGAACGGCGTGGGCGGCCGCTGCTCTACGTGCCTCGGCTGAAGCCATGAAGCTGGTTTGGGGTGTCCTCTTTTTCAGTGAGCCGGAAATCCTTCACTTTGTGACACAAAACTCATACTAGGATGGAAAATCAGGGGACCCTCAACAAAACAAATCCTTGCAATTCGTCGCCAACGAAGCAGTGCTGAAAGATAAAACTGTGTGCCCGAAGCACAATTGGATGGGTTCTACTTCGATCCGGGGAAACCATTCCCCTGCATGTACGCCATCGAAACTTCTGCCACGTCCGTGAAAAAACCTGTGGCCAGCCATTCCCTTCAAGAGACTGGGCTCGTTTGGCCATACGAGGCCGAAGCCAGAAATGGTCCTTCATCAGAAAAAAAAAAAACACTGGATGTCCCCAAATCCAAAGTTGATCAACTGCCACTTTTGGAGGTTCCAAAAAGGGAAATGGCTCGGAAACCCTGACTCATTCGCACGAAAAGCTTCTCTTGGACTGGAGAGCCACTCTTGATACAACCAAACCAATGCGCTTGCGCTTGCGCGCAAGCCAGGCCGTAGCCCAGCAAGTCGCAGGCCGTCCCGAAAATGGTGCGCCACTTTTTGTATTTGGAGTCGGGAAAAAAAGGAAACCACCCAAAGGGCGGGGGTCAACAAAAAGACACGCCCATTTATGGCTTCTGCCAGGACCCATGCAGAGTCTTCTAGGATACTTTGAATCTCACAGATCCGAAGGAGCACAACTCCACCAAGCCTCTGCTGGAGTTTGATTTGATGCTGACGAGGCCTCAAAAGAGTAGCCACGCTCTGACAATCTGAGGCGACGCCCCTTTCAACACAAATAAATGGCTCGCCCATGCACATAAACGCCAAGTCGCGGCAACAAGAGCCAGCGCACCTGCATACTTGAGAGCTGCATGCTTGCGAAGGCTGAGACATGACTCTTCCTTGCATGGAGCAAACCAGCCACACCTGGCAATTTGACCCTCGTCCACCCCGAACGGTTCAAGGAAATTCGAATTCAATCACCTCCAACGCCCTGCAATTTGATTTCTCTTATCTTCGTCTACCACCCACCCAGTGCAACCCTCGCAAAACTGGCGCAACATGATGTTTTCTCATTGACCTCCAAATGCTTGAAAGATCGTTTGCTTCTATGTGCAGTGGAAGACATGCCAAAACAATAGTGGCAAAAGCGGCCCATGGGGTTTGGGTTGGGATCTTCAAATCCGTAAGCCAGGCCGAAGGATGCAAAACCTGGTGGATTAGTTGTGTCTAGCAGTTCCCTCTGCACAGCAATTTTGAGTTAGACAAAGGTCTCTTTGACTGAGGTGATACGGTTGAAGGGCTTATGACAATAAACAAAAACTACACATGTCAACAGTGCGAGGAAAGCGGCGGTGATAGAAAAGGCCTCTCTTGCAGACTTGCGATACTGCAAGCCTTTCTCTCATACTGGGCTTTGTTGACCCAAAAGTCATCGCTCTCGAAAGGTCGGCCAAAAAGCAACGAACAACAAACAACACCCACTTAAAGGGGCTTTTTACTTAGTAACAGGGTCATGCCCATGGTTATACCCCACCAAAGTGGTTATAAGTCTCCCTTCCGCGGGTTTCATAACCAGGCTCCCTAACCACGCACCTTCGAAAAGGGCTGCTACCAGCCACAAAAAAACTCGTCCCACCCATCGCACCCATCGCGGATCGCAGCCGATGGATCCGCCTGGTACAGCGGCTCCTTCTCCTCCTTCCGCCGCCGCCAGCGCGCCGCTTTCTGGCGCTCCCGACAGCCCGCCTCGCTGGGAGCTGGTTCTCGAAAAATGGACCGTGTGGGGCCCCGTGGGGTTTCTGAACCAAAGGGAAACCCAAGAAAGGCAAACCTACCTGAAAAAATGGAAAATAAAACCCAGTTGGAGGGGTCTGAAATGGGAGGCACGCAAAACCTGGACGGAAAAGCTGTTTGATGGCCACAAAGAGCCATTCAAGCATGCTACAGAACCTGTGTCAGATAAAGCAGTCGAGCTGAGATGCAATTACACAGCGAAAGCCAAGTGCAATACTGCGATGGTATTCGAAAAACACAAAGAACACACACAAACTGCAAAGCTTCATGATAGCTCCAGCATTCTGTTTCTGCGGAGTCGCGGACATTCTGGCTAGAATTGAGTCCGGGATAAGCGTAGCAGCCCGGGACAAGCCTAAGGAAAGTCCTGTCAGCTTGCGAGAGCGTCGCGGAGAGGTTCTGGCTAGAATTTAGCCCGGGATAAGCGTAGCAGCCAGGGACAAGCCTAAGGAAAGTCCTGTCAGCTTGCGAGAGCGTCGCGGAGAGGTTCTGGCTAGAATTTAGCCCGGGATAAGCGTAGCAGCCAGGGACAAGCTTAAGGAAAGTCCTGTCGGTTTGTGAGAGGAATTTAGCCCGGGATAAGCGTAGCAGCCCAGGACAAGCTTAAGGAAAGTCCTGTCGGTTTGTGAGCGTCGCGGAGAGGTTCTGGCTAGAATTTATAAGCGTAGCAGCCAGGGACAAGCTTGGGGAAAGTCCTGTTGAGAGCCTCGCTCTCAAAAGCGTAAAGGCAATACTGCTGACCCAAAGGGGGCATGCCTGATCTTTGTTCTGGATAGCTCTTGGCTTGCCTGATAGAGCTTTACTTCTGGTCCAAGGCCATGGCAGAACCTTCCATAGCAACGGCCCGACGGTGAGTCCGGATTCGTTTTAGACGGTTTCCCGCAGCACGGGTTTGACCTGGAAGCACCGTGTTGGACCTACTCCATTGCCGTTTGCGGCTCTCCTCCATGCGACATCCAAGCCCAGGACGCACCTCTACCCGCAAGGGTTTACCTGATACTTCCGCACGCTAAGAAAACTGACCCGAGGCTCTCCCCAAACCGGGGGAGGTAGGGAACCGGCAGATCCCCTGCTAAAAGCGACAAACTTTTAGTGAAATGGGAGTTGCAACCCGTGACATCGCGCTGGGCCACCGCACCATCCGCTGGCAGTCCATGCGATGCAGGGCGAAGGCCGCCTGACTCGTCTCTATTTTTTGAGGCCAAAGGTACCCTTTTGGGATGGTTGAAGGGAAACCCAAAGGAAAACCGAGCATCAGCCATTTTTGGTCAAAAAACGACAAACACCCAAATAGCAGTAAGACAAAGCAAGACTGCCTACGCAAAGGTTGTAATACCTTCAAAGTCGAGAGAACAAAATACATGCCTCTCAGCACTGAATGGCAACCTGGTGTGAGGCAATCCGGCAATACTCTGGGACACCAAACTGGGACTGAGGCTGTACTCGTGGCAAAGGCGACCAAAACAAGGGGGTCATCTTCGCCAGCTGCTTGGCAGGCTGCAAATGAGTCAAGTGTATTCGGCCGATTCGGCCTCGGTGCCGGCAACATGTTTGAGCCCTTTGGACATATTTGACCAGACAAAAGGTGTCTACATGTACACTTCCGTGTCAGGACAGGACAACAAACCTCCAACGTGCAGCCCCAGCGTCGATCTCGGCATCTCGCTCGGCAATCTCCTCAGAGATGCCCAGGCGGTAGATGCCGCAACCAAGCGTCTCCTCGGCGCTGCTTCACGCCTAGCACCCTCAACGACAAAAACTGCATCTCCCGGAATCTGAGCGGCCTTGGACTTGTTTCGCCCTGGGCAGACCCCGTTTCCCGTGCTGGACACGGGAATATTAGGTCTCAGTGGGAAACTTCGGGGCACCCTCCAGTAGACCTACTTCGGGTATGGGCTCTTCTTGTGAGGTTTCCACCATCAAATCGCTTGGCTTCAGAAGCTGTGGTGTCCCACTGTCCCACCATCACATCTCTTGGCTTCGGCCAACGTCTCACGACAATTCCGACCGAGCTCCTTGGTGTAGGCCGCCTCTCGCAGCGTGGAGGGCGAGATAGGCCGCGGCCTGCGGAAGCGGATGGGGCGTCCCCCAAAAGACCCCCCACAAAAACAGGCGGTGCTCCGCAAGCGGAGTCCCTTGAAAGCCCCCCCAAAAAAAAACAGGCGCCCAAAAAACAAGAACAAAAAAAATGTCTGTGGAGCACTCTGAAGTCATGGGAGAAAATGGTCGGTAATTGTGCCCCTATAACACAAGCGCCATCCGGCATGAAGGCTACCACGGGATAACATGATGTGCACGAACAAAGGAGCCATGCCACAAATGTGTGGAGAGGGGAGCAGGGATGATGTACCAACCCTCAAAGCGGGAGCAGGGATGCTTTCCTGCCTCAAGTCAACAACCTTTCTCTTCAGAGGCTGCTTCGGCGGGACCACAGTGGCAAAAAACTGCCATCCGAGGGCAGTTGTGTTAAGGTGAACTCACCTGGAACCCAAGCGGGAAGTAAGAGACCAGCCGCGCCACCGCCCCTCACGTAGCTCCGGCAATGTGAGAACCAAGGCATTTGCTTTTACCAGGGTGGACGGACAGATTCCGAGCGGAACATCAAGCATCCGAAGAAGCCAACAACCCCCGCCCCACCGTAACTCCAGAGCTGGTCTGGGGATCCTCTGGGAGTGGGAATTCAGTATTGCTGTGCTCCGGGGTAGCCTTGAACCTTTTTCCCTTGGGCGTCCTTCAAAAAAAGCCTGGCCCATACCCACGGCCCACCTGGCCACAATCACAATCCAGGTGAAGCTTCAGGAAAAGTGCCCACCACAAGCAGGTGCGGCAAAGAGCCGACTCGAGCTTTTACGACAGGCTTTGGAATGAGCCATATTCTCTCACACTCCCAGCTGAGAACAAGCACGAATATCAGGTTTTCAAACTAGCATGGAATCCAAAACGAGGCCAACAGGAGATCCCCTTCACAATGGATCGGCTTTTGGAGCAATATGAGACGCTACACAAGTACACGCAGCATTCCAGTATTCCCCATGTTCATCACTTAACATGGTTTTGAAGTATCCCACAACCCCATTCTAATCATGGCTGCGGGTCAAAAATGGGTACCCAAAATTCAACCTGGTAAATGGAAACATGAGCTAAAATCTTAATTTTGACCCACAGCCATATGAGTTCTCCCGACTTCTGTCCCACCTCGGTCGTCCATCCACCTTGGCCAGCTGCCAGCTCTCCGATGTGGAAGCCGCCTGGCGGCATGTCATTCACCAAAATGAGTGAGGGTCTCAAAATGAGTCACTTCCCGAGTGGATTGGCAAAAAAAAGGAACTTGTTTGTGTGCCACTAAAACAGGTGTAAAGTGTCCAGGAACTCGGGGAGTGAGCAAGGGAAACAGACAACATGGTTGGGTTGTTTTGGCTTCTTTCAAAACCAACTTACAAGGGCCCCAAGAGGGCGCCCTCAAAAAAGGGACACCCCCAAATCAACTTTATGGTTGGTGCAGCAAAACCAACCATGGGTGGCGGTTTCCCATGATGGGGGAAACTCATTGGCTCGATGCCATGTCCAAGATATGGAAATCGTGCAAACGAGGGCTCAAGTGTCTTACAGGTAATCGCTGAGCTCTTGGATGTGCGGCGTACCTGCCCACTTCAAGCCAGCCACAAAAACAGTTCTCGAAGTATATCGGGACGCGCAAGCCCAGGCTAGCCGTATGATCATAGGTTACCTTTTGGAAACATAGGTGGGTTTCCCTGGTAGATGGAATGAAACCCATCTAAACCGGTGCCATCTATTAAACAAACCAACCTAAAAAGGACAGACCTATGCGCATGCTGTGATTTGACTAAGCGAATGAAAAAGCCATGTCCGATCCTTAGGACTGGAAGGCTATGAAACTCACGCTGAAACCCTGGCTACATGGAGCATATCTCATGGTTTCAATGCTCTTATGTTGACTGCTGCATGTCCGCCATAGTCTCAAACATAGTTGGGGAAGAGCCTCTCTACAGCCAAACATGGTTAATTACAATGACTACTTTGTCGCTTCAAATTGGGCTCCTTTTCTTTCGAACCCTTGGCACGGTAGCAACAACTCTGCTTTCTGCAGCTACTGAACGGAACCCAAAAACCCAAAACCTAAAAACATGCCGGCAGCAGTGAAGCGTATCATCTATCGCAGAAGTCCTAAAATATCCGATTGTCCAATATGCATGATCTCAGATGTGTGGGTCCTGTTGCTTCAAGCGACCTGATGGTTGCACAATACTCGCAGAGAAAAGCATGTTTCCCAAACAGCCACACGTCACGCGCAACGAATTGTACCACATTCCAACAATGGGAAGGCCAAACTGAACCAAACGTGAAGAAGGACGCCCAAACAAGTAAAATCATAAACCCACATACTGCCAACAGCCGAACCAAATCAAGCTAAAACGGTCGCCTCACAGGACCAAAGCAAAGCAGCTGCAAATCACACAAGGCTAGAGCCGTTGCCACTGGCTCAAATGCATTTAATCCAAGCGATCCAAAGCAATCCAGCCCCTTTCTTCGGCAATCACCCGCCCAGTTGAGCAATCCAAACAAAAAGCAAACGATGCCAAAGCCAGTTGGGTGTGACAATTTTTGACGGAGCCCTCTTTTGTGGGTTTAAAGCAAACCCGAAAATCAAAACATCACCATTTGAGGGGCCCATAAAAAAGGACACACCCGATTAAGTTCCTACCTCACCCACGGTGGACCGCCCAAAGCGGCCTGGTAGTGTTCCCTCCTTGTGGCAAGGCGAGGCACGCGGGGTTTCCGCTCCTCAGGCGGCGGGAAGCCCGCATGAGGTCCGCAGCGCCCCCCCTTCGCCGCCAATTTCCCAAACTGGATGACCAATCCTTGACCTTGCACCAAATCACCCCGGGGCCTTGCTGTTCTCAAACCAGGATCAGGAGCAACCACAACAAACTGGATCTCCAACAAAAAGACATTGTCACAGGTCCCCTCCCCCAATCGCCTCCCGCAAAGGCGGCAGGACAGCCACCGGCGCCGAGACCAGCTCCGTCGAGGGCTCAGGCGCATCTGCCATTCGGAAGGCAGCGGGTCCCCGTCCCCGGAACCGTTTTTGGCGAGTGGCACAAAGACGCCAAGACATGTGCCACGGCCAAAGCTCCGTTTCGGCCTAGGGTCGTGGTCCCCTTAATAGACTTCAGCGGCAATAAGAAGGACCCCAACAATCCCCCGGCAACCAGCGCACCAGTGGTGGCATGTCCACCAAAAAAAGAAACAAAGCAAGGAAAGCCCGAAAAGGGTGAATCCGACTCAACAGTTACGGCTAGCGACGTCATATGTTGAATCCACCAAAAGGGGCTGCCACATGCCGCAAAACCAATGTTGTCACGCTGCTGAAAACATGGTCATGCGCATAAACACGCCAAGCCTTCAACAGCGCGTTCGAACTCTCCGGAGAGCTCTGACGCAAAGGACTAGGGTTCCGGTTGAGTTCTCAAAGTTACTATTGGGTCAGCTTGGTTTCCCTATGAACCAGCATCTGGGTGTGTCCTTCCTTGTCAAACCCATCCCCTTTTGAGGGATGTCTCCGAATGGACCTATCCACTGCCCCCCAACTGCCTGGTTTGCGCAGAGCCGCATGGGCTTGCAGCACCTTGGAGATATCCAAAACTATTCGCCCCTCTCTCTCTCGCTCTCTTTCTCTCTTTGCCTTGCCGTGTCTCATAACACCAATTGGCAGCCCGGCTCTTTGCCTTTGAGCCACACAGAAGCAACCCCTGTGTGGCTCAAAGGCAAAGAGCGGGCTGCCAATGCGTCATGGGACAAACGCCGAGGACTGTGCTGCACTGATGCAACTTGACCCCACGGGATGAGGTGGAAGTTTGCAGACCTACGCTTTCCATAAGATCTACTGCTCCAAGCTGGTGCAAAGGTTCTTCCCTGGAAGAATTGTCCACACCGGACCGAGCCAGACGAATTGACCCTTGAGTGCCTAAGAAGGAGCTAGGAAGCAGATACCATGCGTCAAGATCTGTGGATTGAAGGCAAGATTGCTAAGATTGGATCAGGCCTAGTGTCCTGGTCTGGGGTCGAGCTGCTTGGCTCCAATGCCAAAACTGTAACCGAGACACAGCCAAGACCACAAGTTCCCTACAAGTATCAAGCCAAGCAGCTGGTTGTGCCAAACGCTTGCAAAGCGACTCACCTCAGCACTCGAAAGCTGGCAGGAAGCCACGCCAATGAAGAAGAAATGTTGACAAGCTGACCTAAGTGTCCACAACCCATGGGGGTTGTCATCTCGGTGTGTTCATTTCGCAAGTAGCAAAGCCACGCCAGAACTTCATAAAGTCTTGGCGGTTCCAGCGACCACGTCAGTTGGTCGGTTCTGTGCACCTTCCACGCAAAGCAGCGAATGAGCGACGTGTGCTCAAATTCCTGACAGCTGACACCCAAGACACCAACACAAATACTGCAACCATAGGTGACCTTTCGGAAAAAATGATGGCCCTGGTAAATGGGGCAAAGAACCAAACTAAACCAGTGGAATCCATCTATGTTTAACCAAACCAACCGATCAAAAAGGACCCCTCTGCCTTTTTTCATGACCTGACCAATCGAGAATAGCCAGCTGATGTTAGCTCCCGCTGAGGTGTGGCTCTAGAAAGAATGGTTGCAAAACAGTTGGGCGCTTGGATTCGTAATGCAGCAAAGCATATGCCTGAGATGATTGTCCACCACCATGCAGTCATGGACCAAGAAAAAGAAGCTCCATTCCAATTTGCTGTCCCTTTCCCTGCAAGGCTGTGCCCTTCAGACCCCCTCAAAAATGTCCATAAATCGCTCCCGTTGAAGGCCATTGGAACTCTCACAAAGCGAAAGAGAACTGGGCATCGTCGCCTGATGAATAGGTTCACAACTGGGCAAAAAATGCAGCAAGAACCCAACATCCAGCACTGCCCGTGCCGATTTTCCCGCAGTTTTCCATGACCAAGTGGCGGGGCTGCAGCTCTGGGAAAACCCGCAGAGTCATGCGGGCCCCTCGGCAAGGGAGGAAACGGTACATGGAGAAGACGCATCATTCGTGGCAACTCGATTCACCGAGAAGGGCCTTTTGGCAAAGACAATAACAAATTCATGAAGCACACATTCACCAAGGATACCCCTAAAAAGCACAAAAAAGACAATAACCCATACCATTTTGGCCCTGATCCATCCAGAGTTTGAGCAAGGCCCATCCCTGTGAGCTCCACACCAAGAAATTGGAAATACATAATTGCCTCTCAAAGGACGGAGGTATTGAGTGGCATTGGACATGCCAACAGCATTCCTCCAGACTTCCTGCGCCTGTTCCCCGGAAAATGTGCAAAGCATGGGAAGGCCCTAAGATTCAGCTGCCACATTCATCTATTTCTTCCTGTGATGCAAGATCACCGCCCGCGCTGGGTTGGATGCGATCGGGATCCCTCGTCAAGAGCGCGTGCAGCTTCCGCCGAGGCGCTGTGCAGCTTCTGCCCAAGTGCGAGTTACATGAAATCATGGCGCGCAGAGGGGCCTCGGAAGTGGCTCTTGGCCATTGTTTGAAGACTGTGGGCTTGTCCAACCATGCGGGGTAGAACATGCCGAAAAAACCGAGTAGCGAAAAGCCGAGTAAGTTGCCAAGTCTTGCAAAGAACAACGTGTGGAGGACAAGGAGACGCTTCCCTTCCTTAGCACTTAAGGGGCGAATCAGGGCGTGTCCCTCAAGTCGCCGCAGTCATGTCCTGCCATGTGGCTCGAGCCGCGGCGGATCTTCCGCCGCGCTGTAGTCGCTGGAGCCACAGCGTGGAACGCGCGACGCCATTTGCACCAATCCCCAATGTGGCTCTGTGTGTGTGTGTGTGTGTCTGTCAGCGCCAGCAGCCGTTTTGGGGATGGCTGCAAAAAGGACCATTTGAGGAGGTTCCTTTCCATGAATATCGTATTTAGCCACTTGATTTGGCCCACAGCAGTGAGCAATGGTCGAAGTTCACCAAAATGCAAGTCCGTCAACGGCTTCACGAGACTCGTCTGTGATTGGTCCCTCAGAACCACCAATCAAGCTGAACTATCTCGTGCGAATTCACTTCTTTCAGGTTGTACTCTGAAATTTGTTTATACCAACTGCCAAGAATTATATCAGCAGAAAGGTGAAAGATTTCACAACTTGGCTGCTGTTGACCACTCTGCAAAAGTGAACAACTGTGCGTGGGTCCAATGAAACATCCCACCTGTTTCAACCAAAAAGTTGAAGTCCAACTATCCGTTACCAAATAGCCTAAAGACAAAGATCCTTTACATGGGACCGTTGGGGAAAACCACCAAAAGATGACATTCCCCGCATAGAAACAGTTGTCCATAGTCATTTGGGGCAAAAAAGCGGAATATGGATCAGCCCCATAACAAGGCGGATTTCACCAAAGCTTGGCTTTCTTTAGGGGTGAAATCCATGCTCTGCACCTGTCGGCCTCCCTTGAGGCCCGGTGCTGCAGCGTGCTGCGGTCCAACCTCGGGGCCCACTGGCGGCCGAGACGATCTGCCCAAAATGGGCGGGCGTTCCTTTGGATTCACAAGGGTTGCTCCACAAAGAAACTGCGACTGAAGTTGCCTTCAAGTTGCAACCGTAAACCTAGGATTCAAATCGGTCTTACCATCATCATTCAGGAAAACAAGGATGTAAGATGTCACCTTCTGGAATCGGAGAGCCCAAGCCTGAAAACTCACGCGTTTGGAACCTGACAGAAGGTCCACTGGACTATGAGTATCTCTTGAAAAGGAAGCCCTTGGCGGGTCACACGTACGGAAATATGTTTTTGTCCTCGACACCGTCTGCGTTCTGCAACGGAAAAGGACATCAGCCATCTGACTCTGGTGGTCATAAGATACAAGAAGGAACCTCTGGGCGCAGAAAAGCCCCAAATGTCAAGAACCATCAGGTGCCAAGCGCAAAGAGCCCACTTCCAACCACTCTGATTCCAGCAGTTGAACACTTTTTGATGGTGCGACTAAGGAACCAAGCTCTCGTTGTGTTGCTTCGTGAACAATCTCACAAACTTCCATGCCTGAATTGCTTCGACATGCATGCTTCACCGATATCCTCGGACATCAAGGCCAGCCCCCGAAACAGGGTCGGGGGCTCAGAGTGTGGCAAACCATTGGCGGGGGGTCTGAAGTCGTAGGAAACCCCGCATCACCATAGGTGGACCTTTTGGCCAAATCGATGGGTCCCCTGGTAAATGGTTGGCATAAAACCCCATCTAAACCAGTGGCTTACCCATCCAGTTCTTTGCCCAAACCGATCACAACACCTATGACATCACGCTCCTTGCTCCCAGTCAACGGCCCTCTTTTTCCTGATAACACGCTCATTGCTCCAAGGCCTTGGTGGCCATGGCCAGCGCGCCTTCCTTCGCCCTCAGCGACATGCAAAGCTTTCGGATGGGGCTTCTCCCCTGACGTCTCGAAACAGCTCGCTCCACAGCCGAAGAACAGTGTGAGTGGTTGGGAGACATATCTCAAACACCGAGGGGGGGGGGAACACATTGCTCTCGTGCAAGAGACATGGAGAGGGTGACACACTAGAGATCGGGCCCGGCTCCGACAAGAGATGCACGGAGAGGGAACAGGCAGTCCATTCTTTCAAGCTTCCTTTGTCTACAAGGCCTAGCAGCAAACCAAAGTCAAGCCGAAGTTAAGCCCAAACTCAGCTCCGTGCTGTGCTGGTGTCTCACCTTTTTTAAAAACAGCATACACTGCTCTTGAAAACCCTGTCCCGCGCTGTAATTCCTCAGGGAAGTACACAGCTTCCCAACAACTGGAAAGAATCGTGTGCAACTAGGAGCAGCCAAGCCACGAATTGCCACCAATGAAGCCATTCGCATGGACGAAGACGCAACCTGACACGTCCGCATCTAAGTTGAGAGGTCCAAAAAATGACCTCTGGTGAATACAAGTGAGTCGGTTGCTAAGCTTCAACTTGACTTCCTTCTGATGCGGAAGGGACAAACATGTTTTGTTCAGCACTGGGTGAAAAGGGCCAAGAGGTCTTTGTGTGCATGCAGCAAGTAAACCTTGCCCAAAGACAGAACGACACCGCGCACGCAGTTGCAAAAACCCCATCTGGCGTCGCCCGAGCTGTTTGCTTAAGCTACAAGTGATGCTTTTATAAAAGCAAGCCTTACAGGGAAAGTATGGGGGTGTGTCTTGAGTGTACCCCATGTCTGGTGATTTTACAGGGAAAAACCGCAGCCATTTTGGGGGTTCCCGCAAAACGAGGCTCGTTTTGCAAAGTGCCGTCTCGGATTCGGATGGCGCCTGGGATGCCGGCCTTGTCGCTGAGCTCTTGGTCCCGGAGACCACACCAATCGTCCGGAAGCTTTAGCCTGACGGAACGCGCTTGCCCTTTTGAGGATTCGAATGGCCCCATGACCCGTTTGGGAAAACATCCTTCGGATGGGCCAAGATCCGATGGCTTGAACATGAGTAAAGCCCTATCCGGGAAGCCGAGCTTCCCTGCTGGCATTGCACTTGGCGCAAGGCTCCGCAAGGCTCCGCACGGTGTTTGCTGGGGGTGAAGCATGGCTCCCAGCAGCTTGCGGAATGCCGTCCGCGTGTCCGTGTTCCGCGCTTTGCAGACGTCAACCGTTTGCATGGATATTAACTGCCCAAATTCGGAACTCAACTAGCACAAATCGGAGAGATGATTCTGGGCATGCCAATGATGAACGCCTGCAGCCAATCAAATAGAACGTATCAATACCCAAGGCACAGAGGTTAAGATATGTTGCACCTGCGAGTTGTCCCTGTTGCATGCATGATCAAGCCAATTTGATTGAACAAAAAGATCGTGCCACAGTAAGTCACGCAAACCACCAGAGTGCGCCAAAAGAAGACAAAATAGATTGATGGTCGAACAAAAAGCAACAACGGCAACCTCCGAAAACAAACAAACCCCAAACAAAACCAAACAAAACACCCCCAAACCAAAGAACAAACAAAACAGAACAACCCACCCCGAAACAAAAGAATAAACAAAACAAAACACACAAAAATACAAACAAAACAGCACCATCCCCGTGGAAGCCGCATTGAGCGCCTCAGCTCGAAGCTGCCACGCACCTTGGGAGCCGCCTGCACCCGCCAGCTGCCACGGCTGTCCTGCGCGCTGTCTGGGAGACTCCGCAGGGTCCCACTACCTTCAAGAATTCAATGGAATATGCAACAACTAGATAGCCACTATACAAAGGATACATATGTATATATATATATATACACATAATGCAATGCAATGTAATGCAATGTTTGTGTATCCCGTTGTCACCTGGGGGTAGTGCTTTGGGGGTGGTAGAAACCATCTTAGAACGACCTGAGCCAAATCAAAACCTTGCATGAAACTGCTCTACAGGGTGCACCCTCAGGGTACATGACAAGCATTCGTTGGTTTGGCGCTGCAAGCATGGCAATGGAAACGGCCGCCCCACATGCACATGCTGTTGTGTTGTGCACCACATTCCAAGATGATTTCAAGATGTGGATGTGTTCAATCATTTATGGTTCTCCATTTTGAACCTGCTGGGCATCCAACAAAATGTAAGGGTTTTTGTTCAGTGCATATATTCAGATGCAGGCACCAATTCTGTGATTTGCCAAGTTGGCAAGGTTGAGGACATGACGGGTTGAAGTTTAGTCTCAAGCCGGCTCTCAGCTTGCAACATTTTCTTCTGCCAAAGAAAGCGCTGTTATACGAGTACGCCCTTTCTCCGCCAGCACGACAGGGCCTAGGCAGTGCTATTCCTATATGATGGAATATGAATCAATAGCATCTGCCGGCCGGATCTTCAAGGTAAAACAGGGCATTACAGTGGACATTACAGTGTTTAGCTTCACGAGACTCCTCGTAGCCAGAACATCTGGGAGCCCTCAACAAAACGTCAACAGGCGGCTACCCAGTCAGACGGCTTTGATTTCACAAGTAGGTAGCCAATCATGTCAAGAGCGACAACTTGTGTGCTCTTAAAACCATCCACGCAAAAGTGATCTTTTTGCCGGCAACCAAGACCATTCCCTGCGGCCTCCCCCCACTTTCCTGGAAGATGACGTACTTGACCAGAGGTGTGCGGTTTGCCTCGCATCCCCGGCCAGGGGCGGCGCAGTGCAGGGCGCAAATGGGACAGAGGCACGGTGGGGTGCCTCGTGGGCGTGCTTCTTGCTTTCAAGGCGCGCCACCAAAGAGAATTTCTTCCAAAATAACCAGGACCCAACTATGAGGTCCCGAACAATCGGACTTGATGAGCAAACGCTTGATCCTCGAAATAGCCTTGCCGCGCTTCAAAACTCCCCATTGATTGTTTTGGGGGACGTTGGATTTCATGTTTTGGCTGGCAACGCCGTGGCGAAAGGAGCCTCCATCCCCCGCCACCTGTGCCCTAACCAATCCCCGGCACCTCCTCCTCCTCCTCCAAGTCGAAGAGGTGATCTTGCCAGGGGCAGAACTGCGTCAGCAGCATAATCTGCCAGGGGCAATGCAGGTTGGGTCTTGTCTCCAAAAGTGGGGAGTTGCGGTGAATTGAGTTGGCGGTGCTCAATGCATCCCTTGGTGCAACACTACGTTGGCTCCCAACGCCCAAGCGGGCGCAGGGGGAAGAAACAGTTTGTTAAAGCGCTGATAATCAAGGAGGCACTGACCACAGGCGCCATAACATGGCCTGTAATCTTGGGGGCATCAGTGCAAGCCACGAATCAGTGATCCTCCCACACCTTGTGTGCCTCTTGAATCTCCTGATGCCCTGAACAAACCGTTGGCAAGAAGTGGCGACACCCTCTCGCGGGGTAGGAAATGTGATTTGACTTTTTTGACGGGTCCCGCAACGCGGTTGTTTTCCTTATGGTATCCCTTCAAAACCACAAAACCGGCGTCCCGTCCAAAAATCCCCATATGTGTTCTGTCATTATATACGATATCAAATTGTTTGCGGTTGTAATATGTTTTCTGACGGCTCATAGCTATCCTTGCAAAAGCCGTACTTCCTCCAAACCGCACCTCGCCCGAGCTGTGCACCTCCTGTCGCTTCTCCAGCGCCTCTCGCCGGGGCGGGGGAGGGGGGCTCAGCTGGACACCCCAAGCCTCCCACTCCAAGCCCGCCATTGAACCTGTGGCTGGGACATGAATGGATCCACGCATCCTGAAGTGCAAAAATCTGGTGATTTGCTTCCATCCAGCTGTGGACAGCTGCTCTCAAGTTCCAAAGGAAAGCAGAACAGCTGAGATTTTGGGCCGCTAGCATGACATCTAGCCAACTGTGATCTCAACAACTGCCTTACCATCAAAAGGGTATGCGGGTCAAAATTAAGCCACCAGGGGACCACAGGTTTTGGTCCATGTTTCCATTTTTCCCAGATTCCATTTTGGGTACATATTGTTGACCACCACAGCCAAAACAGGATGCTCAAGTGAACAGAACTGACTCTGACCCCCTGAACTGTTCTTTCCGGCACTCCGCTCAGCCCAGCTGACCCGCTCTTGACCACGTTGTCTTCATGGAACCCAGCAGAATTGCTGCACATAGCCACTGGGAATCACCAAAAAGATTTGTCGCTCTCAATAATTACAAAGACCACCAAATGAGAGCGATGATTTGTCGGCGCCTCCCCTTTCCACACAATGCAGCATTCTTGATTTGCCTTCTGGCGATACCATGCAGCCTGGACCCCCTTTTCTAAGCAGACAGCTGCCGCTGAACTAGCAGCCAAACACATCCGAATCGCTTGGCTGCTCGACTGACAAACGCACATGTCGACGAGATGAAATATGGGCATGTCTCCACATCCAACAAACACAATTGAAACGTCGCTTCCCTCTTCGCTTTTTCTGGAAACCACCTCCCAAACAAGAGTGCCTGATTCACCAGCGACCGCGCTGGCAGCCAATGAGCTGCATAGCCCCCGACGATGTCACAGAACTCCTTTCAAACAAGACAGTTTTCTTGCCAAAAAAAAGCCGTGTTAGGTTGATGCATATTCCCTCTACACCTCTTGCTCGAAGGGCCAAAATCCTTCCGCCAACATCTGAATCTGCACACGTCCGTTCACATACGACATGACTAAATGTATTGGGATGGGGGGTGCCTAGGCACAAAGCCCTCCAAAAGGTAATCTGAAGCTAGGCAAAGCCGGGGACGTTCACTCACCGAAAACCGCAATAAGAGGATGGCGCAAAACGGAGCGCGGCCGACTTGGGGATCCACATATGAGGCACTGACTAAACAAAATAATGCCATTCTGCCTCGAGGCAAGCACGCTGCCAGTGGAAGGGTTGGCCAAAAGGCAGAAAAAAGGCCTGTGCCCCGTTGCCAAGCGCATGTTTCGGTGCCGCCTTCAGTTAGTGATCTCAAGCAGCTTCAACGACTGTTTGTGCAGATCTTGTTGTGTGGCCAGAAGCAATTCTTGTCGAGCTCTGCCCCATGGAACCAAACCGTTGCAAACCAAACAACCCGAAGAAGAACAACGTAGAGGGGAAAGTGCTCTTCATCATGCTCGTGTATGATTGCTTCGCAGCTGCCTAAACGAAAGAAAGGAAGCACCTCCAGCCAATATGATCAATTCCCCACTCCGGAAATATAAGCCCACGCTACCAACTTAATCCAGCCAAATCCTGCCCGAAACCCTGGCTCGAAGCAATACGCCTGTACCGCCGTAACAAGAACAAAGAACAGGGAAGAAAAAGGACAAAAAAACAAGACGAGCAACAGCAAGGACTTCTGCAGACGCAGCAGCAGCTGTGCTTAGTAGGGGTTGTCGCTGTTGGTGCCTACAGTACTGCTACTTCTTCTATTTCTAATGCTGCTTCAAGTTTTTTGTCCCCCACTAATATCACGCTCGCACTCACATTCAGAACTACAGAACTACAACACCACCACCACCACCACCACCACCACCACCACCACCACCCCCGCCGCCGCCGCCACCACCACCACCACCACCACCAAAGACAAGAAGCGCCACCGAACCCACCCACTCGCCAAAGCCGAACACCCGAGCCACTTCGTCGTCCCATGCTCCGCCGGTTGCGGCGTCCTTGGCCGCCACCAGCAGCGCCTCCTTGAAGCGCGCGTTCTCCACCTCCGGGGTGCTGGGCTCCTCCGGGGGGCGAGTTCGACGTCCAACGGAAAGGGTCCAAGGGTCCAAGGCCATACTTCAACGGGGCGATCGAGTGCGTCCAGGCAAGTGAAATTGCGATAACCATGGTGAGATCACCCACCTTGGTGGAAAGCCATGGTTCGTGTCCGTTCGGCGGGTTGCAACTAGGCTTGCTAAGTGCCCGAGCGCCCCTGCAAGTACCGGAGCTGGCGTTGCCGAGCAAGGTTTCTTGGCCGGACCACGGGGCATTTCTGCGTTGGAGAGTGGACATTGCACCAATAGTTCTGGGACAGAGGTGGTCGTCTGCCTGGCCAATCACTGGGCTAAATGCCCTGCCTGCGCCGCGTCAATCAATTGGGTAGGACTCAGGCCTGGAGGTGTCCTCAAAGGACCTGTTCTCCCTCAAGCGTGCGCACAATCAGGACAGACTTGTGGCCCCGCAGGAGGATCCCTTGGCCAACAAGCGGGTGCAAAGGGCAAATCGCGAAACCCATAGGTGACCTTTTGGAAATATCGATGGGTGTCCCAGATCAGTGGGGCATAAAACCCAATCTAAACCGCCCATCTATTTCTTTGCCTAAACTAACCTAAAACGAAGGACACCCTCTGACGACATCCCTCGGATTGGCTCTCCTGCCAGCTCGGGTTCAGCCGTCCCACTCGCGAGCCCAGGTTCGTGACGAAGCGGTAGCGTGGCTCATCCGCCACCTGCGATTCATTCAGAACCTGGGTTTGTCTCCAAAATCGGGGTGCGCACTACATGGGTTGTGGTCTCCCTTGGTTTCCCTTCAAACCCTCAAAAAGGGTACCCTCAAAGCCAATCCCGCAGGCGCACAGGTGCGTCTTGGCAAAGCCCCAGTTCACCCAAGCTATGCTCGTGTCCCCGAAGTCTCAGGAGCCAAACCCACTGGAGCCCAGTGCTCAAAGGTCCTTCAAACCCCATCTGGCCAAAAAAAAATGCGCCAAAGGGACACAAGTCCAAACTACCATCACAACGCGCGTCAACCTTCCTTCCAGCCGGATCAGCGCAGATCGCAAGTCCTCTGCCCGAGTTCTACGAACGGTTTTGCAACGCATGGGCTTTGACACTTCGCCTTCGCCGGCCGACACAACGACCCCGCCTGCACGCCATTGTCTTGGGCATCCAGCTCCCGGATCAGGCCGTCGTAGGTCTTGGCGAGGATGGCAGCCTCACGAGTCACGAGCGGCCTCTGCCCAGAGCCCGGGAGGCCTCCCGATCTAGCCCAAGCCTTGGCAAGCAGAGGTCCAAGGCAGATCTTGAATCTTGCTTCACATTTTGCCCGACGCAGAGACCCTTTTCAATCTCGAAATCTCGACCTAGTCAAGCGGGGAGTCAGCGTGGAATTGTCGATGGCTCACATTTGCAGCTGAGGCCCGAAATGTTGCAAGGAGAATAAACTGTAGACACAGGACCCAAACCCATCACAACATACGCGCACTTGAGCTCTTAAAAAGGGTGTAGTTCATCAATTCGGCTCATGAACTTTCGGCTCCTCGGTTCGTAAACAGGCTTCTGCGCATAGACAAACTTGCGCCGTGCATACAGGCTTGGCTTGGCATCCCTCTACTTACTATGAAAATGGACAACCAAGAAGCAACAGCAATTTAGGAAGGAAACAAAAAGGGCTGACACATTGTGACACCACGGCACTGGCTGGCTCATGCAACTGAGCACGTCCCCTCTTCCGTTTGCTCCATCACAATTGGGCCAATGCTGGAATGCCCGGTGTTCCCAGCCAAGGCGTTAAACTTTGAAGCACATCCTGAAATGTTTGAGAATCCTCCCACAAATTTCTGCTGGCCACCCCACCGTGGGCGCGCGGCCGGCGCGGCAAAACGCGGCCGGGGCCTTGGACTTCTCGTCCAAGGGCCCGCAGATGGCCTCGACCACCGCGGGCCCGAAATGCTTGAAGACCAGGCCGGCGCTGGAGAGCTTGATGCCGCTGTAGGCCTCAGCCCACTGAAAAAGCCGCCTTCTTGGTGTCACCATCGGCTGCCCTACATGGGATAAGACGTTGGACACATCTGTTCAATGTTCAAAGTGTCATGTCAGAAGTTCAAAAAGAAACATGTTTCCTTCACTGGTCCTAAGTAGTCCCTACCTGTTCCGTCATCTGGCTGCTAAGTTGGCAAGTCACGTGTAGAGAGCTGAGGCAAACTGAGCACATTACCAAGATATGCGCATCTATCAGTCAAAAGTTGAATGTGTGCACGCGTATTTATATATATATATGTATATATATATATATGTATATATATATATGTGTATATGAACATGTGCATCTGCACATTTCTTCTAACTTCATGCAGGATTCCATGTTCATTGCAGGTTGGCCGTCCTGGTCGGAAACAGACCCTAAGTTCGATGCAGCACGTGGTACATCCTTCGGGTCTGCAGGTTTTTTGAGAACCGCTTACAAATAGGGGCGGTAAGCTCAGCTTAGGGCAGCCAAGATGAGCCTCTGGCTCTCAGTGTGTATCATGCTTTTGGGTTGCTCTCTCGCACATGTTACTTGAGATCATTGAATCAGTGTTCTGCATCATGCGTCATTTGCTAGCAAACACCTTGACGATGCATGGAACTTGCATTGGAGTGTAGTGCTTTGGGTTGTAATGCAACGTAATGGATAGCGATAGCGATAGTCCACTTAGATCAAGCATGAATCCAAACTACGGCCTTGTTTGAAACATGGACACGTTCCATTGCGCGCCGAAGATATCAGTCCTTCCAGTTCTTGCACGTTGTAATGAAGGAACTTGCCTGAAACTCTGTTTGCAATCGGAGCAGCACATGAAGTTCCGTCAAAATTGGTTGTTCACAGTAAGTACGTTCGAATTTAGAGAGTCCCCTAGCGTTTTCCAGCGTTTGGTCTGTAACACAAAGGTCTCGTTTTGTTGAGAGTCCCCCATCGTTTTCCATGGTTTCAAGCACCTTGAGCTATATGGATGTCCAAGTGTAGATTACTTTCATCTTCCGTAAATTCTGACCGTGCTTCACATGTACACCTTGCACAAGAATGGCTTAAGCGTGTGATGTGCTGGTTTATCTCCGCGCTTTGAAATCCATGAAGCACACCATGTTGAGCTGTCCAGTTCCCCGACTAATGTCGAACAACAAGGCATTGTTGCTTGATTGACCCGCAGCTCTGGAATTTCATGGCGCTCCCAGTGATTGCGTTCCCCGTGTTCTTCCTTGAGTTGTCCTCGATACTGTTGTTTCTCTGGAAGAATCAAAAGCAAATGGTGCTATTGCAATACATTGTAAGTAAAACGTCCAACGAACATCTCTCCTCAGATTCAATGCTGAATGTGCTGATTCTCCGTAGGAATTTGTTCAGGTGTCCTTCCCAAAACAAACGCACGTTTACATCAAATGACTGGCTTATTACATCAACATAGACATGAAAGGCGTGTGTGTCTGTGTGTTTTGCTTCGTACTTGGGTTCTTTGCATGAATTCAAAATCAAATATGTTTTGAAATGTACGAGGCGTTGCTTTGCAGTGGATGACGGAAGTTCGCACTAGTCGATCAATCCAATGCTTATTGCTAGAATATCAAACAGAGCCAAACATCCCTCTGTTTCCTGTGTGACGCAAAAGGTAGGTCAGGGGGGGTAAGCCATATTCATGTGCATATGTGAGAACATAGGTGCGTTTGCGCATAGCAGATGTGTGTATGTATGCAAACATATTATATATGCATACATGTGGCAGACTATGCGTATATCTAAAGTAATATAATATAACATCATATAATATAATTAATATAATATAATATGACAGAATAGAATAGAATATATAATCATATACGTAGATACATATATATATATATATGCATAATATGTGTGTGTGAGTGATGCATACGATATGCATACATCGGTGCCATTCGATACCTGCCTCAGAGTAAGTCTCCGTGAAGGTCTTCTGATGATGGTCGAAGCGCTGCTTCTCCGGCTCGTAGGTTCCGCCCACATCCACCACGATGGTGGCCTAAGCGAAAAAGTGCGACTCTCAGCCCGAAAAAGCCGGGGAAGTGCGAGAAGATCCCTAAACTGCAAGAAAATGCGGGCAAACTGCAAGGAAATCCTGGCAGACTGCCAAACTGCCAAACTGCCAAAGTGCCAAACCGGCCACTACCCATCAAGCTAGAACACAGCCAACCTTCACCTCTGTTGAATGGCTGCACACTAGCGAGTTCCCCTCGCGAAGAATCATGTGAGCTGTGCACAACAACTCTCCATGGCAACATGCTGGTTGGGTCGACACACAAACTACGAATTGCATGTAGCGGTTCAAAAAAGCTAACTTACCAGCAATGTGCAATGTGAAAGCCACTAGCCTTTTGCCTGAGAACAGCTGTGCCGGAAGGTTGGTGGCTCCCCCACACGGAATGGCTGGCAACGACCTGCAGATCTAAACATCAACAATGTGCCCTCTGGTCTTATCCCATTGCTTTCGTCTGAAAGGGGCACCTTGGAAAGACGAATCTGTCCATTGCCATGTCACATGCAAATTGCGAACTATCTAACCTGAAACCAGGCATCCGCAAGAAACCTTATCAAGGGCATTCCGCTGCTGCGAAAATTGAAAAGGGGATGCAAACGGAGATCCACCAAATGGATTTTGGTTTCCGCTTCTGTTTCCCTTTGAGCCAAGGTGAAAAGGACCGGTCAACACTGCTTCCCTTCTGCCAAGGCGACAAGGGCTAGCCTCAAAGCCTCTAGATCCAATGCCATGGGATCGGCTCAAAGACGATCGGCTCAAAGACTGGGGACGGCTCCCGCCTGGTCGATTTCCGCGGCCTCGCGGCTGCGCAGCACCGGGAGGCTCTGGAACTGGTCCAGGCCTCAGATCCGGCGACCTCCAACCGCTTTGTCTGAACACGGCTTCGGGTTTCGGCTGAAGCCGTGTGGCGAAAGCACCAAAGGGATGGAGCATCTTGAAACACGCCGCTTCAGAAAGGAGTGTTGTTGGGCTTAGGAGACTGGAAAGCAGGCGGGGTTGCCAAAGTCATGCGGCTCAAAGGGCATGGGCCAACGGCCCATGTGTGGCTGCCCCCCTTTGAATAAATTGGCCACAAGGCACTTTCCAGCAGGGGGGATCGAACCATTCCGCGTAGATCAGGTGCCAAGACCATCTCAACACGCCAACTGCCTAGCCAAAAAGCCCCTGCTTACAATGAAAGCACACATTCGCACTCTATGCAGTTGCTCATACCAGACTCCTCTTGTCCTAACTCTCCCAGCACCCATGGCTTCACCAAGTGGCACTTCAGCATGACACAGGCCATTACCTCGGAGAGATTGGGATCTTGGGATCGCCTCCGCCCAACTGAATGGCAGCTGACAGATGTTTAAAAAATTGAAGGTATTCCTTCCCCCTTGATGGTTTGCAGCCGAATCAGTGGTTTAGTGGTGAAACTGGGTGGGAAACCTCATTTACCCGCCAGAACCAGAGGTTCAAAATCCAAACCAATCCAAACCAAATCAAGGATTACATGCGTAGACCATATCCTGCAAGGTGAGTGAGTGGACCCGCTTGAGGGTTCCTCAAAGTTACGCACGGAGATCCGTGGGCCACTCGCTCAATTTGTCTCGGCTCGCCCGCCTCATCGGCATGGAAAGTGCCATGATGGGTACAGATAAACGCATCCAAGCCTCGGTGCCAAAGCAAACCGTGGAATTCAATGGGAAAGAACGGGCGGGGCTAGAAGTCGAGAAAAAATAAACGAGTCTCCTCAAAACACGTGGGGTGGATGAGCAAATAGTATGACATTCGCGTAATGTGGACTTGTCACCAGTCATTTGACACATTTGGGGATCGGAATCATTGGACTGGTTGAGAAACTGGTCTATGTTGCCCCAGGCGTGGTAAATTCCGTTCCGCTCGAACTATTCTTAAGAAGGGACCAGAATGAACCAGCCCATGTTGGCTGGGGCAGTGGGTGGCTCGTGGCTCCTGGAGAAATTCAAAGTTGTTTTGAGGTGGACTTGCCGTATCGACCTGCGAAACCAGCAAACAACACAAACCAGAAATCTCCGCAACCCCTTCGCACCGATCGACCCACCCCCTCCCCTCCCCTTGGGGCCGGCGCCCTCCGGCTTCTTGGCCAAGACCTCTGTGGCCTTGGATTTGGCTCGTGTCCTATGGCTGGCTCGTCCCGTTTTCTTTTTCTTTTTTGTGAGGCGCGGTACGGGTCCCTTCTCTTGCAAAAACTGGTCAAGGGAGACCGAAAGGAAAAGCGTGCACCCGAAAAAGAAAGACACACCCGCGGCATAGCTGATTGTTTGCAGCAAACATGTGGCAGGCGGAGCGAGAAACTTGCAAACTGATTCTCGGTTGCTGTTGCCAGAACAGGCTAGGGTGGCTGATAGCGTTCTTGTGGCGATTGCAGTGATGTCTTCGAGCAAAATCCGGGATGTCAAATCTCAACCCAAAACGGACTAAATTGTCCAATGTTCCAAATTATTAAAAATATCCTTGAACCACTTGCTTGTCTTGCTGGTGCTCAGCAGGGAATGAGGAATGAACCCAGGGGTCCCCTTAAAGGAAACCAAGAGATGGTTTAAATTGGGGTCATTCCATTTCTCATTCCCTGAGTACCAGGAAGTTGTCCCCTCTCCAACTTTTCTGCTCCAAATGACTCGCCTCCCGAACTCCCGCCTGCAGCCGCGCGCCGAGCGACTCCAGCGACACGCTGCCAGGGCCTTTGCTCCTCTTCGCTTCCATGGCGCTCAAAAAACGCGCGGTCTCGCGCACCTGAGGTTGCTATCGGGGAAGCCCCAACAGATCAGCAGATTTCAGATAGGGACACAAGAGGACGTAGGAAATGATAAGGGGAATGAGGATAGATCAGGTGTGAGTCAGACTCATCGGCTTTTCGCGCTTTGCGCTTGTTCGTTGCAGCTCGTCATCCTTCTTGACACCCTCAGCCTGAGCCCAAGCTGCGCTCGCGCAAAAAAGACTAACCAGCTGGCCCTGAACACAGCCCTTCAGGATCACCTGGCCAAGAGATGGCTTACATCTTTCTTGGGGCGAATCGAGCGTTTGAAAGCTGAATCAGCTGGGACTTGTTGACCAAACTGAGGGACGAGAGACCTGCGAGACGATCCAGGCGGTTACGATCAAGCCACACCCAGAAATCCAGCCAGCCTCACCTCCTTTGGGTAAAAGTAGCATCCTTGAAGAGCATTCCGCAGTTTGAACCAATTATCGAAACGCGTTCGCTGGGCGCTGAAAACTGAGTCAAAATGCATGCTGTGGTGTTTTTGCTGAGTGTCATTGAGTCCTGTGTCACTATGGTTGGAAAGAGAGGCTTGAAACAAATTTGAAGGATTCGAAAGGTCCCGCTGCCTCACAGAAGGCCAAGCCCTTGTGGATTTCATGCTCAAAGCACCTATCAAGCCCTACCAAAATACATCCAAATGGCTGTGGCTCAAAAACATGCACCAAAATGGCAACTTGGCAAATGGAACCGAAGACTAAAACCTGCGTAACCCTAGTTCACTAATTTTGAGCCACACCCAAATATGAGGGGCATCTGCGTGCACAAACTCTTATTCGATTCAATGGCCACTCGTGAGCGAGCAAGGCGCAACATCTCAAGACTCGCAGCCAAGAACTCAGGGCTGGCGGCTAGTTCTTGGGCCTTTCGTGATTCCAAAACCTGAAACCACCAGTACGATTGTCAGATTATCAGTACTCGGTTTTATACCGTCGGAGCAGACACCTGGCTCTAAAGCACTTGCTGGGCTCCGCAGCTCTAACTCCCAGCCATCCTCACAGCGGTCGCAGCTGAGCCTCGAGAGCTTCAGGCAGGTCATTTTCCTATCTTTGACCTGTGTAGCTGAGATCATGCTTGAAGCTTAGAACTAAAAAATAAAACACTTATAGCCGAGCAAGCGTGTCACAACCTTTGGTCGGAGAGGCAGAGTTTCGCGGTTTCGGAGGCTTGGGAGGGTGATGCGCGTGACGCACATCACGCTTCACATTTGGAAACGCGATCATGCGTGGAACATATGCCTCGAAGGCCGGTCAGTGTGAAACCGGTAGATTTGCTCTGAACTCCTGCCCGACTGCCCGATTCCTTCCGCCGGTGTCCGCCTCGCGGTGGTGTTGTGGCAGTCTGTGGCTCCCCGAGCCTTGGCCGCAACCGCGCGGACCCTGCGAGGCATCGCCTTCCATGCTTGGCCCAAACTTGGTGCCGAGAGGTGGCAGCTGGCCCAAAACGTGAGTTGAAGCGTGAGTTGCCAGCGGCCCTTCACAGTCAATTTTCTTTTAACACTCCCAAAAGGAACTGGACTGAACAAGAAAATCCCCCCCATCCCGCGGCTGATCACTATTTCAGCGTTGGCCGTCGCAACAAAACATGGCCCGAGTCTGGGTCCCCGTGCGGCCACGGCCTTGTCTTCGCAGTGGGCCAAGCTGCACAGCAACCCGCAGAAGCCGCCTAGCGGGACTCACGGAAGCGGGGAAACCGCAAAAGTTAGAAGGCTTCAAACTATGTAAACCCGCGAAAGTTGCATTTGGTTGCCTCATTGATCGGTCACGACCCCTTGAGACTAAGCGTGAACATAAATACATCGTCAAGCTGTCGTAGAAATGGGAATGTATCAGAATCATGGCCACTGATTGTGCTCCTGACAACCCTACTCCTACTGCTTGCTATGCCAAGCGCTGCCACTAATCACCACTTTGAACATCAAATGCAGACCCAGCCATACCGGTACACATCGAGAGAAAAACACAAAATGCAACTCCAAATCGTCCCATGTGGATTGTGGATCTTCTTTCCGTCATTCCGCACTCTCGCAAACATTGGCTTGTTCTTGTGATTCGTAAGGTTGTCCAAAGGCTGACCCTGGTAGAGGATCTGACCCCCAAAAACAAACAAAAAGGATAGAAAACTCAGGAAACCCTCTGCTGGTGGTTTGGACTGGTGTTTTGGACTGGGTGTTTTGGATTTGGAGTTGAACCCCTGGCTCTTGAGGGCAAATGGGAAACCACCCCTGGAACACCTTCAATTCGAAAAGCCAGCAGACCATCTATGCCACTCGCAGCTCGGTGCACGGAAAAAGCGACTGGTCGCTCGAAATGTCTTTCGGACCTCCTTGGGTTTGTGTAAAGGGATACCAACAAGGAAACCGAGCTGTTTCTGTGGACCCCGATCAGACACACCCATCACCTTTCCCGCGTTCGATCCGCCTCCCTTGTCCACGCCGGGGCCGCGCTCCTCAGAGCAGCCTGGGACTCGCAAGGCACAGCGACTCGCAGCTCCACGCAACTGCGAAGGCGTCACGGTAGATCTGGAACACACCATATCCGGAGCCACTCACAGAGAACCCTAGGGCGCCAGCGCATGCATCGCGCTTCCCCGCACGACCGGGCATTGTCTGGCCTCAAGATGGAACGAATTGCCCACAAGTGACATCAGAAAATAGAGGCCGGTTCAGGCCGTCTTTGGACGGTCAGCGCTGTTCAACATTCAGTGGGCCGAAAGGAAAGCGACGGGGGCTCAAAGCTTAACGTGAGACCAATGTTGAGGCTGGAGTATGGTTGTGGGAAAATTATGCGCCACCAAAGCAGGCCATTCCCACAACTTTCACACTTTGAAGGCTACTCCGAGAAAAAAAAATGTCCACAACCTTCCTATCAGGCGAAAAACCTAAAACAAAACAAAACAAAAAACGGTCCATCCCTGAAAAAATCGACACTTTGGACCTCCAAACCCACGAGAAACAGAAACTTTCGCCAGGCCGCAGGTGCAGCTCCTGGCAGTAGTCGATGTTGCAGTTCAGGTCGTGGTCAGCCTGCCCGGCCTGACCGGGTGACCGGCATCTCGCCAAACGCTCAAAGCCGCGGATGGTGGGGAGTTGAGTTGGGAAGCTGGAAAAATTACGGCGCGGAGAGTTCGTCGCTGAGGAAAATGGAGGGGAGAGCTGGGATGAAAAGGTGACTGGTTGCCACGAAGCCAGTCAAGGCATAGTTCGCCTCGGCCTTCAGGGGCCAAGGGCGCTCAGATATCTTTTCCAAAGAGTCAGTTTCAGGATCTTCCCTGCGAGAACAAAAGAAAAAGAAAAACAACTGCCATACTAATACGCGACAGCCAGAATGTGAAGAAGCATAGAAGCAAGTGCAAGACCATAGCTGCTTTGAGATCAGAAAGCAAGTGCACAATATTGGCGACATATTTTGTTGAAGCCCGAAGCAGCCCGAAGCAGAACTGTAATGCCCAAAGCTGCAGCAGTGCAAGCACCCCAACCACCAAAGTGACAGCCATTGTTTGTTCGATATACCGTGCATCAACGTATATCGAACAAATGATGGCTGTAACCCCCCCCCCCAAAAAAAAAAAAGTGTTCCCGCTCCCACATGACATGATGCCCACCCGTCTGAGGGAAGGGCGAAGAGGTAGTAGCATACCTGAGTTCAGTCAAACACTGCTTTTGAAGCCAAGTTGTGCATGCATTTTGTGGAAGGTGCCATGAGAATCGAAACGCATGGAGCATTCATCTTCGGCTGTACTGCGATCGCCTTGATCTGCGCAGCTCTTCCGACCCATGAACGACTGGCGATTTGCCACCGTGAAACAGGAATCTCAAAGTGGACAAATTGCCGCGCGTGGATCACACATCATCCCAAAGCCTTGCTCTCAGAACCACAAACAAGAACTACTGGCTGGCGCTGGAGAATGTCCAGGCATATCAGCCAAATGCTTGCTGAAATTCAAGTCAAGCCTGAACAGCGCCACACAATCATATCCAAGGTGGGGCAATATCACTACAGTAATACCACATGGGACATAAGGTAATCCCCCTTGCTCGTGTGTAAAATTGGGTACCCGCCAACGGTAGACTGCCGGTAATATCGCAGGGAAAAGCAAACACATGCTTGACTGATAATACAAAGCTGAAATGGCATTCGCGTGCCAGTGGCGCCCAGGGCAGGGAATGGAAACCACAGCCCTTGATGCATGTGCGGATGACAAAACATGGCGACCCTTGTGTGTGTCTCTGATTTCTTGCAACTCAGCTGGCCTCAGCATCTTGTCACCAGGGCCCCACACCCCCACAGCCACCGCCACCAGCAGCAGAATTCCCACCGCCGCCAGCACCCAGACACGCGGGCCTTGCAATGACAGCGCATCGGGAAGGGGATTCAAAATCTCATTGCAGGGACTTGTGGTAGTATGACTTGTTGGCGTTTTGGTGAGAGGAATGGAGATGAGTAAGTGGCAAAACGAACTCATACCAGGTAGGTGAGGGCAAATATCTGGTATTACACGAGTCTGGACAAAACCACGTAAAGAGCTAAAGGGCCTCCTGCTGCACCCATTTGTCCTAGCCTGCATGAACTGGGTTGTGATTCAGGCAAGGTCGACAAAACTTCTAGCACTCGCTCCTTGAGATTTCCTAGCCTCCCTTGTCAGAGACGGAGACTGTGTACGTTTGCCGTCCGCTGCAGTTTGGTAATGGTAGGCCCCCATACAGAATGAGGCAGGCATCAAGCCTACCTCTTGTGAAAAAGTTACTTTCGGAGAATTGTAGTAATAGCACAATGGCTTTCTACTCAAAGGAGATAACCTCTGTAGACTGTTCCTGGATTCGCAAAGGTCAGTGGACTCATCTGTTCGACGAGGGATTGGGAAAACCAAGCAGAAAGAAGCTCGCTGTGCTGTCAGTATTTCAGAAAAACGAAACACAGTCAGGCTAAAAAGGAAGAACCAGGCCTGAATTGCATTGAATATAGAAAATGGCCGTGCGGAAAAGTAGGGCTTTGGCTCAGATCTGTGAAAATCAGTGGGAGATTGCAAGTGTTCGAGCTTTCAATCTGGTGACGCAGCCTTGCAGTGGAGAGAGCACCTCCGATGAGCCCTGACTTCGAACGCCATTGTTTCTGGATGACTCCAATCCGAGGGCATGCCATCTTTGGCCCCCGCTCGCTACATCCTTTCTAAAAGGAAAATGATACTGCCCCTCAGCCTTGGGAGGCATGCATCTCACCGGCTTACTCGGAGCGCTTCTGCAAATGTGGGCATCAGCTGCCACATCCGCGGGTTAAAAAAACACCAAAGGAAAATCTCCGCCTTTCGTTCGGATCGATCGCTTCACTCAGAGGCCCTTGGGGATGAAGTCGCCGACGGAGGACTGGAACTCTGACTGGGTGAAGCTGGGAATGAGGGAGGGGCCCACGCCAGTGGAGGCGTTGGTGAGGACCATGAAGAAGAAGCCCACCATGGCCAGGCGGCAGTGCCTGTGCTACACGGGTGGGTCCTTTTGTTGGGGGGCTCCCAATTATGGTGGTTTTCCTCTTGGCTTTCTTGTAAAGCCACCCTCCAAAACCAGACCCCCAGAAGGTTGATAACTTGCCACAAGCCAAGACGCTTGATCTCACGCAGCTTCATGTTGTTCCACTCCTCTGGCGAGTACTTGGCAGTGAAGGTGGGCCCAAACCACTTGGGTCGCTTGCTGCCGGTGGGAGCATCCACGTTCCAGCCCAAATCCCCAGGGGCGACACCCTGCGAGTACTTGCTGATCACGTTCTCGTAGCGCCACAACTCGGAGAGAGCGATGACGGTCAGGATCTGCAGCCAGCCGATGATGGGCACCTCAAGTCTTTTGCGGTTGCAAACTTGGTGCGACAGGTAGGGAATGTTGGATTGAACCCGGTCCCTTTGGAGGAAAAATTACAAGGAATGGTTTATAGGGTCCCAATGTCCCTCCGAAAAGGATCTGGATATTTTGACGGAATCGGAGATTTCTTGAGCTGCTATCTGCTTGCAGAAACCAACTTCCACCCTGAACCAAAAGAACATGTGGCTCTGGCTCAAAGAAAAATAGACAAGAAAAATGGGGTCTCCCTGACTAATTACAAAAAAAACAAAAAAAAAACCTGCGGTCCATATCCCACTGGCATACCCATGTCTGCCGCCTCCACGGAAAAAAAAAATCGGAGCGAAGCCGGCGCCTGGGTCGCCGCCTTCAAAGGATCCGCCGAGTCGGTGGGGTAGCGGGTGATGAAGGGCTCCCACTTCGCGCCGCTGGTCTGCACGGTGTAGCCCAGCACTGCCAGCATGCACACCCGGCCATGGGCCAACTCCGCCTTGGCAAGTTGTTGTTTTTTTGACAAACCACTCTTCAAACCACTCCTCTTGAAACCATCCTGCGTTTCAACATCCCGAGCGAGTCGACCAACCTCTTCAAACCAACCTTCAAGCTCTCGAAATCTCGGGTTGCAGTCCCTTTCGGTCGACTGAAACCTGCCCCAACTGGTTCAACCCCCTTTCCCTGATCATTTCAACCAAGCGAGAAATCGACTCTCGCCTCGCGGTACCAAGGCAAGAGCCGCTTGTTCTTGGCGAAGCCGGCGGGGTCAAAGCCCGCGTCCCCCACCTTGCTGTTGACCCCTCTGCCAAAACTGCTTAACTTGTTGTGGGTTCAAGGGATAGCAATCAAAAAAGAAGGGGCAATGCACTTTGGGTCTTGTCTCAAAGGAAAAATCATGGAAATCCCAACAAACTAAAGAAAATAATACAGGATATATTCCCGGTATATTCTTCTATGAAAAACCATAGAGTGATCAATAATCATATGCAATCTCAACAAACTAAAACGACTCCCAATGGCTGTGGGTCAAAAAGATGTACCTTCAGAATGGAACCTTGGCAAATGGAACCTGTGGTCCCCTTGTTTACTTTTGACCCATACCAATATAGCGCTCAAGCCGCGTAGGGCCCCACGATGTTGTTGGTCAAGTTCTCGGGCACCGGGGCCCAGGGCAGCGCCTCCGAGTTGGCGCGCAGCGCAGTGCCTGCAAGGATGCGTTTCCTTCTGGGGGTCTGAAAAACAGGACTATGCACATTATATATATATATAGGTATTATTTTACATATACATATATATATATATATACATATATATATATATATATACTATGTATGAATATATAACACATGAAAATACACTATAGAGAGAGCGAGAGATAGCTCTTTTTTTAAACCTATCCCTGTCGTTTTATTTGTCGCTTCGGTGCCATCATTTTGAACCACCCCCCTTCCTGAGTGGTTGGCCACACGGGCGTAGCCGCCCACGAAAGGGTTCAGGTTGCCGGTGGTGAACTGCTCCACCAAACTCTGCCCCGTGGCGCCGTTCTGCGCCACGATGGCGGCCATGGCCATCATGGCCAAGCGCCCGTTGTTGATCTCCGCCAGGAGCTTCTTGGACTTCTCCTCGAGAGAAGCTACACCGAAAACACGGTTAAAAAAATAAAATAACAACAACAATAACAACAATAACAACAATAACAACAACAACAACAATAACAACAATAACAACAATAACAACAATAACAACAATAACAACAAGAATAGGAATGACCATGATCATGATGATCATCATGATGATGACGATGATGAATGCTACGTAGTACAAGTCATTTTGATCATGTGCAACCTTTCAGGTTGTGCTTCCTATGTCCAGAACATATGCAAAACCATGACGTGGTGTTCTTCCGGAAATTCCCAATAAGAGAGAAAGGCAAATAAAGACAGAGACGTCAGAGACGTCTCCTCCTTGGAGAGCGTGTTGATCTGGCCCCAGAAGGGGGGGTAGCCGTAGTTGGTGGGAAAGGCCAGGTTCTTGGCCTCCAGGGCTCCGGCCAGGGCGAAGACCTGCAGCCAGCCCGCGGCCGGGACCTTGTAGATGGCCTGGGGCTTTGGATGGGGGGCTGGGAGGTTGGGGGAGGTTGGGGGAGGTTGGGGGGGGGGGGGGGGTTGGGGGTTTGGATGGGGAGTTGGCTGTGATGTTGCCCTTTTCCTTTTTTGGAGGCTCGGTAGGCTTTCGTTTGGTGGTGTGCAAGAGGAAAATAGCCTTGCGTTGTCCTTATTTCTTTCTTTCTTTTTCTTGAGGGGGTCCGGCGTCCTAACTGTACAATCCCGCCAGGTTGGGACGTTTTTGGAAGACATTAACACTAGTTTTAACTCGTTGTCACGTCAATAACTCTTCGCCTCAATGGTGCAGGGGATGTCGGAGAACTTCAGGTTCATGGAGGGAGACAAATACCCCCCGAAGCGCCCGAAGAGGTCCGGCACGATCATGCCGATGGTGGCGACCATGCAGATCCGGCCGTGCTTCAGCTCCAGCTCGCGGTTGCGGCGGAACTTCCCCTCGTCCTGGAAGGCCATCATGCCGAAGGGATCCCAGTAGCCCAGGGGAGGGCAAGCGCCCAGCTCCTTGGAGGGGTCGAACTGCGCGAAGGCGCCCTGGCCGTCGTTGAAGGGCGAGATGTGGCCCGCGGTCAGCTGCTCGATGGGCGCCTGGCCAGTGAGGCCGTTCTGGATGAGCATGCCGGCCATGGCAGTCATGGCCAAGCGCCCGTTGTTCAGCTCGGTGGTGAGCTTAAGCCTCCTCTCAGCGGGGTCCTTGATCTTGCGGCCCCAGTAGCCGGTGCCAAAGTTCCCGGGCTCGCCGTACTTGGCATAGGCAAAGCCTCCGAAGGACTGGTCCTTGAAGAGCTGGGTCTCAATGAGGCCTGCCACCAGCAGCACCTGAAGCCAGCCCTCCAGAGGCACCTTGCTGATGGCGGCCAAGCCGGACGGCACATCCGCGAACTTCAGGTTCTGGGAAGGGGAGAGGTAACCCTCGAACTTCCCGAAGATGTCTGGCCACACCATGCCGATCGTGGCGAACATGCAAATGCGACCATGTTTCAGCTCCACGGCACGACGGCGGTCAAAGTCCTGCTTGGTACAGTCGCCTTGGCAGTAGCCAATGGGGTCCCAGAAGAGCAATGGGTCGCATGCACCAATCTCCTGAAGCAATTTACTGACGGAAAAGCATTGGCTCGAAGAAGGCGGCATGTCATTATTGGCTTTTCCGGATTGCCTTCAGACCTGCAAGGCAAAGAAACATCCGTTCTGTCCTTGGAGGCATCATAGGCGCACCTCACAGTCGCAGTCGTCCTGGGGCGCGGCGCCGAGGCGAAAGCCGCGGCAGCAAGGCCGGCCGCACCCAGGCCGCTGAGGCCGCTGACTCCGCGGCCATAGCCGGAGGAAGCGGTGGACGCACCCCGAAGGGACGCCTAAGGTCTCGGAATCGGCGTGGCCCCCTTCGAAGGAAATTCTTCATGTTCCGGCGATGCAGTCAAACGTCTACTGATTGCTTCTCGCCAACTTGAGCCCACCCCACCGTGGTTATGTGGTTTGAGGCAGTTTGAGCAACATGTCTAAGAAAAACCGGAGCTTTGCCGCAATCAGCGCCTGTGACGTCTGCTCCCGGGCATTGGGGGCCACAAAGGCGGAGGCTGCGGTGAGCGCAGCGCCGGTGACGGCAACAGCGGAGAGCTTGGACATGGCAGGCATGGCTAAGACCCGGGGCGCACTTTGTCGTACAAAAAGTTCACTGGGCCAAAATGGCTTCGGACAGAGAAAGGATTGTTGGGCAGCCCTCAATCAAAGATCACAAGCGCACATCAGCTTGCACAGCAACACATCGACGGAACCAAAACGGCGCATGTCACATCTCATCTGAGCTGTCCTCAAATTTGTTAACTTTTACATCCTCTCACATCCCCTGGTTGAATGGAAACCCTCACTAAACCCTAAAACACCAACAACCGACGACAAGTCACGTCTCCTCCCTCAGCGCCCCGGCATTTGGTGCGCAGCTCCCGCGCCGGAACGGCCTCCACTGGAGATGCAAAGATTCCCCCGAGCTCTGCTTGAATGGCATGGCTTGCCCATATTATCGTCATGGAATGGGAAGTGGAAGCTTTCTCACAGAGTGTTGCTTTTAATGAGCGGTGTGTTGCGTTGCATATCTGCATTGCCTCTGCTACCCCACCTCCCTCTTGTCGCTTGTCGCAGGCCTCCTCAGGCACTGCCAGCGGCACCCGGGCCGACGCTTCCGCAGCCTGGGATGTATGTACATGACTGTAGGTAGATAGGCATGTACTATGTTGATATATTGTACCGTGGCATAGCATGGCGCAACAATATCTGTGGCATCCATCCATCCAGCCATCCAGCCAGCCAGCCAGCCAGCCATCCATCCACCCACCCACCCACCCACATGCATGCATGGACGGACGGACAAATGGATTGATGGACACGGTATGCTTGTGTAGTTGTTTGATGCTGTTTTGTTGCTTTGGATATTTGGTTGCATCCGCTTTTGTTGTTTCTTTGGTGTCTTGGTGTCTTGGTGTCTCGGTGTCTTGCTTGTTTGCTTGCTTGCTTGCTTGCTCGCTTGCTTGCTTGCTTGTTGGTGTGTTTGTTGCTGTGTGACTTTGCTTCACTGTTTCTGCATTTAGTCGCGTCTTTGTTCCGTTGCTTCTTTGCTTCTTTGTCTTGTTATTTCTTTTATTTGCTCTTTGTTGCGTTGTTTCTTCCTTTGCTTCTTTGCTTGGTTGCTTCTTTCCTTCTTTGTTTCTTTCTTTCGTTGTGTCTTTGTTTCTGTGCTTATTTGCTTGTTTCTTTCCTTGTTTCTTTGTGTCTGTTTATTAGGTTCTTTGCTTCTTCGGTTCTTTGCTTCTTTTCTTCTGTGTTCCTTTAATTCTTTGTTTTTTTGCTTCTTGGTGTCTCTGTGAGTCTCTGTATTTCTTTCTTGGCTTCTTTGTTTTGCTTGTTTGCCAGCGAGCTTGCTTGCTTGCTTGCTTGCTTGCTTGCTTGCTTGCTTGCTTGCTTGCTTGCTTGCTTGCTTGCTTGCTTGCTTGCTTGCTTGCTTGGTTGGGTGGTTGGGTGGTTGGGTGGTTGGGTGGTTGGGTGGTTGGGTGGTTGGGTGGTTGGGTGGTTGGGTGGTTGGTGGTTGGTTGCTGCTCTCTTTGTGTTTGTGTGTGTGTGTGTGATGTTTGTTTTGTTTTGTTTGTTTGTTTTGCTTGCTCTGTTTGCTTTGCTTGCTTTGTTGGTTGTTTGCTTTGCCTGCCTTGCTTGTTTGATTTATTGCTTGCTTTCTTACATGCTTGCTTGCTTTCTTACATGCTTGCTTGCTTTGTTACATGATTGTTTGCTTGCCACGCTTTGGTGTGAGTTCGCTCGTTTGTTTGTTATTTCCCTCGCTAGTAAGTTGCTTAGTTAGATGATTAATTGGTTTGTTGTTTGCTGTTGTTGGTTTGTTGGTTTGTCAGTTTGTCGGCATCTTGCTTGCTTTCTTGATTGCTTGCCTCCTTCCTTGCTTCCTTGCTTGCTTGCTTGCTTGCTTGCTGCTTGATTTATTCTTGATTGAGAAATCGTGAATATCTGTGTGTGTGTGTGTGCATATCCATACGTTCCACATGCTCGAACTGTGACACAGACAAATCGCTTCCCAAATGGGCCAAAAACAAATCTGAGTTGGAGCCAAAGGGTGAAACTGAACAAGCTTTGAATCCATGCCAACGTTGGATAGGCAATGGATAAGTTGCCGGCTGAATCCAGGGAATCTGATTCGCAATTGAGGTTGACTCTGTGGAAGGCAACATGTGGAAGAGAAGGTGCGTTGAGACAACCTCCAACCCCAGCGCGTCAACGGGTTCTCCTTGAGGCAAGAGGCAGGTCCCGACATTCGCAATTTTAATTGGCTCGAAACCAGAGAAAAGGAGAAAACAAGATGACAAGTTGCGGCAAATGAAACGGCGCTCGGCCTGCAGCCACTCTTCTGTGGCAACCCGAATCCTGCTGGTGTCGGCTGCACAGGTTCTAAGCCCCAGGCTGAGGCCGACATCTTGGCTTGTCTGTTTTCCCGTCCGTCTGCTGTGATGTCCGGCAATATATGGAAGCCAGTTACTTGTTTGCTTCCATTGCAAGATTGGGCGGAAGATCTGTCGGCTTAAGGCTGCAAGCGTGCGAGGACGGGCTCAAAACGTGGCCAACCCACACAAGAGATACTGTTTACAGACGAAGCCACTGCGACAGCATACGTGTCGTGACCAAACACCTGCCATTTTGGAGTGCCGAATGTTGCCTTTGAAATTGGCATAGAACCAAGGAATGTTAATTGAACTATTGGAACATCCCACATCTGTCAACAGGCTATGTGTCGAGATGGGGGAACCCTCACAAAAAAAAGGCAGTTTAGCCAACACCTTGGGCCTATGAGCGCATGGGAGCTGAAATCATTGGGGACCGCCCCTCGGCATCGTTAAAAACGTGGGGTGTTTTTGTGTACCGCTTGTGAGGGGGTCGTCTGCATGTTGCTGCAATCCCAGTCATTTTATTGCTTCCCATGTTGCTTAAACATCCTGAGAACAGCTATTGTTTCAGCAACCTGTTGAGTTGTTCTTAAGGGGATCAAGGTCTGGCTCACATCGCATTTTTGCCACAAACACTGGAATCCTCCGTCATAGAAACCAGCCACAGGAAAAATTATCTAGACACCCACCAAAAGCATGGATTCCCTGCAGAATGTCCTGCAGCTGGCTTCTTAGACTCAGAAAAGAAGCGTCTCAGACAGACCCGGGGCCCGCCTTCTCAGCCTTGATCTCCTTCTTTGCCAGCTCCTTCTTGGCGGGCACCAAACGGCACTCCACCCTCAGCGTGCGCATCCCCTGGGGTTTGCGAACTTGGGAAAATGGGCGCAGAACTCTGCCGTTAAGCAGCCATGTGACGAAAAATATGCAGACACATTCGCTGCACCATTCTTCACATGTCGCCTTGTGTGAATTTCGTTTCCTAATTGAGCCTGAGGTCATTTGACAGCCAGTCCAACTTGCGTTGCTGCTTCAACTAAATATCAAATGACCTCAGGCTGACTTCCCACGGCACTTCATAGAACCGCCTGGAAGCTAGGCATCGTTGCAAATCAATGCCACAAGTTCAGCACAATCGACGCTAGAGGTATTTGGGAGTTGATCAAAAGGTCCTTTACATGAGATGACCATTAGGGAAAACCAGCACAACTTTCCCACTCAATGGGAATAACTACCCATGGCCACTTGGGCGCCTTGAGTATGCTTGCCAGCCTCCTGACTCTACGGTCCATGTTCTGCTAAGTAGTCCGCAAAGTACATGTCTTTCGACCTTTACACAGCAACCTCCTGCTTACGTTGCTAAAATCATGAGTATATACAACACTGTGCAGAGTGGTGCCCAGCTCAGTTCGGGCTTTGTTGCTTCCTCCAAGAGCACACCTAGTGAAGCAAAAAGTTGCCACCTCCACCAATGATTGGGACGGCTATGCAGCTATCGAAGAACATCCCCCGGTTTTGGACTCCTTAGGTTGAACCAGCACCAGTGAGTCCGAAAAATCCAGGAATCGGTTTGCGCGTCCCGTACCTCTGTTGCAAAGGGAAGGCCAATCCGACTTTCCATGCCAAGGGACCAAGGGGACCACATCCTTCAAATACCCAGCCATATTTGGGAGATCACGGAGGACCAAATCCTTCGGTGACCCCGGTGACCCCAAGCAATGAAAAGATACATTTATACATATGTTTATATACATATATATATATATATAGTGATATGTCAATATCATATATATATATATATGTATGTATGTGGTACGCCCCCCCCTGCTGGTGCCTAGGTGTCGCTTGATTTCAGTCATCTTTTCAGGTAATTTTGCTGTTGTTTTGGCAAAACTTGGGCACCAAGGAAGAGGTGTGCCACAATTCTTACAATTAAGAATTCTGGACTCAAGATTGCTGGAAGACGTTCAATGTGACAATCTGGAATTCAAGATTCAATATTTCAAAACAATGTTTTCTGGAATTCTGGAACATTGAATCTTGCATCCAAAAAAAATGGATTCAAGATTCAAGATGTCAAAACAATCTTTTTCTGGGAATCTTGATGTTGAATCCCAGAACTTATATTTAAAAAAAAAAAAAAAAATGTCCCAATACTCTCATGTTCAATAAGATTCTCGGAAAAGCTTTCCGTGAAATATTTCAATCTCGAATCTTCAATCGTGGCAAAATACGATCGAAGTTTTGAAACAACTTGACTGTTGTTTGGGTTTGGCCAGGATTGACAATTCTCAGGAAAGAGTTCTGTGTAATCTTCAATCTTGATGTTTCTCCATCCAGTGGCAAAAAGAACTTTCAAGTGCTTAGCTATCCAGTGCAAACACTTTCAAGTTATTATTTAGACAAACCTTCAAGTGCTTTTGGTGAGTGGTTTGCTTCATGTTAGCTATGAAGCATGTTGACCCTTTTCCAGGAGGTAAACAAAGGTATGTGCAATGCTCAAAAACACTTTATTTTACAGTGTTGTTTTTTTTGAAGAGGCGCAGGATCATTCGGGGTACAATATGTGTATGTATGTATGTATGTATGTATGTATGTATGTATGTATGTATGTATGTATGTATGTATGTATGTATGTATGTATGTATGTATGTATGTATGTATGTATGTATGTATGTATGTATGTATGTATGTATG